GATACAAGTGGATGGGAGTTCGCTTCTATAGAGTAGAGGTAAAAATTTTTTGGGGTGTGTGTGGGAAGAGGGAAGAGGGAAGAGGGAAGGGAATTACAGGCATTGCGTTTCGATACTTTACTTATTTATTTACTTAGACTAGATGGAGTTACAATATCTGCTGGTGGTGGTGAGGAATAAAATGAGATAGGGAGGATGAAGGTTTGGATTAACGACTATAAGGGGTGATCGTGATAGGGGACGTATCCGTACTCTGTATATAGATATATATTCATTTGAAGCTTGATGTGTATAAGCCCCGTTGATGAAAGGGAAATCCGAAAACTTCTTAAAGAAGAGGAACGATGTCAGATACAGATAGCATCCTAGGCCAACGAATGCCACCGACGCCGTCGTCCACGATGCCCTCGCGGAAAAAACGCGAGAGACGACGATGATTCTACGAGGTCTTTCTTTTTGTAAGTTGCTGACTGTGGGTTGCGAATTTCTCGGAGATTCCAAAGCACATATTTACCGCCCCGAACATGAGCAACATAAAGTTGATCCCCGCCGCTGAGCGACTTCGAAACGCTCTCCTGCGATCACTCGAGCCAGGTAGCCGCGGGCTCAGGGCTCGCCGTGATTTTCCCAAGAACCGAAGAGTGGGCCGAGAATCTATACCTCATCAATCACAGGAAAAGACATCGACAACGGAAGTTTCGGTACCATGTGCTGGAATCGCAGGTCGCCACGCGAACAGAGAGCTTCCATGCAAGAGCATCTTGCAGACGGACCGGCGTGCCGTCGTGGATGGCCGACACAACTGAGAGACATAACGCAGAGGGAGACAGACGACTGACTTCAATGTCAAGTGGACTGAACGTGACGAGCCCTGGGCCCAACTCCCTGATCAACACATCCTGACCCGGATGAAGGCTTCAAGAACGCCTCACACGAGGCAAAGTCTTCGGGATTTCTGGAAGTTAGACACGGTTTTCTACCAGACTCTTCACTCTCTTCCGTCCCTCGGAATGGAAGCAATGGCCTATCAGGAAACAGCAGTTTCGTTGACGAAGAAGACGAAAGAGCCGTCAAGACGGTGATTGACGATCTGTTGAAGGAGGGGGGCATGAGTGAGCACGACCAATTCAGATATGACTACACTTCCCACAAGCTCAATCGCGATTCCGAAGCTGCCGGTCCCCAAACATACATTGGATGGCTATACCTTTGGTGCTCGAAGCTTCCCAGCTATACCCGGACGGACAACTACGGCAGCGACCGCGGCTACATCTCTTGGTGCCTCGATGCCTATCGTCTGAGACCCATAGTTTGCCTGCATATGATCGAGTCTCTCTGGACCAGTGTACGGAGAAGACAGCGTCCGTCTGATTCTTGCCATCTCGCGCCGGATCCCCCGCAAAGAAGTGCTAATTAATAACCCCCCAGGCGGCCTGCATCTATACACAGTCGTGCCGGTCACCACTGGGGCTGCAGCAGAAGAAGGACGCCGGCCGTCCGACCCACACACCGTTCCTGTCGAGAGATAACAGCCACAGTAGCAAGACGAGATGGTTAACCTCAGCGGCGGCGCCAGACGGTGAGAGCAGTAGTCTCAGCGTTGGCCCTCCAGCACATGCCATCGTTACTGATGGAGGCATTCGAGAATGGATCAGCCTTTTGCGTACCTGCATGTAGTAGAACACCACTTAATCTTCGCGGATTATTTCTTTCTGACGTACTACTCGGCTTGTTTCTTCTTAAGGCGGAGTACTATTGCATATATTGCAACCAAAATTGAAATATAAGACCTATGAATAAATAGTATGAAGTCAGTCCCGATCCAAGGGGGGTTTTTTAGGGGTTTTTTTTTCACATAGTGATTTGCATGTGCCTGTATATGCTTCGATGCTTCTAGTGCGAAATGGGATCACAACATTCTATCAAAATCACGCCGATATTGATTGACTTTCACGTGGGAAATTGGGAAGATATAACAATCCTCGCTAACCAGTTACATAAAGAAGGCCTTGAACGCCAGTGTAGGGCTAAAACGGCATGCACAACAAGTTTCTAACGTAGCCTCTAATCCAGCGAGTGACTGATTAGAGAAATCCATTCTTTCATCGCTCATCGCTCAGAAAGGGCCCCGTTCTTCTTCGTCCTGCTACCTCGTCGTCCTTCTCCTGAATTCCATCTCGGCTTGTGTATGAGGCATACAAGCAAGACCAGTATACCGGTTTCGCGGCCTCTTCTCCACACCCCCCTCCCCACCAACATCGCCCTTGAGCCTGAAGTCCCAGCTCCGGAGCAGCTCGATCACAACGACCTTGATCTCGTTACCGGCGAAGAAGCGGCCGGGGCACGCATGGCTCCCGTGGCCGAAGCTGAGCGAGTCCGGGGACGTCGTGACGTACTGGTGCTTGTTCTCGTTACCGGCGACCTGGCGCATATGGTAGAAGCGGAGCCCGTCGAACTCGTTCAGGGGCCGCCAGCTGGGGTTCTGGGCCGGGTCGAAGGTGGGCGACGTGGTCGATCGCTGGATGGCCCACGTCCCGAATCCGATGAAGGTGCCTTTGGGAAGCGTGTGCCCGGTTGAGAGGGTGAGGGCCTTGGCCGTGACGATTCGATTGCCACTTACTAGACGGGACATGGTGTGAGCAAACTTATCGAGAACCCTTTTTCTTTCTTTCTTTTTTGGGGGGGGTATTAACGTGTGTGTGACTTACCCAGTCCGGGAGGAGTCAGCCGTTGGCTTTCTTTGAGGAAACTGTCGAGCTTCCACAGCTTAGGTATGCTTGATTTCTTGAGCTTCATGAATCCGTCGCCGTCGAGATCGTAGCCGTCCTCGTCGAGGACTTGCTGGATCTCCTCTCGCAGCGGCTGGATGTATTCAGGGTACGTTGCCAAGTCGTAGATAGCAGCCGTCGTAGCCATCGAGGTGGTGTGAATTGCTGCAAACGTGACTAGATGTCGCTCATTAGCGAGTTACCCGTTTTTCGAGTGTGAGAGTGTAGCTTACGACCCATCTGATTGTTCGCTAGGACCGATGCATCCCGGCGCTTGTTCTCGGGCGTGTGCTTGAGAATCCACGAGATCATGGTCCCTTGCTCGTCTTCTGTATCATCGCGATGGATCTTCTCGTTCTGCTCTTTTGCCATCTGAGCATCCAGAATTGGCTTCATGAGCTCCGATCCTCGGACTCTGAGTTTCTTCAACTTTTGCAGCTCAGGCACGAAAGGAGCGACAATTGATCGCAGAAATGCTGGATAGGCGATGATGGCGTCCCTAGCTAGCATTGTGTAGTAGGTGTACTCAACACTAGTCTGTATCCATTCCTCTTGTCGACTCAGAGGGCGACCTACGAAGACGCGGCCGCTGAGGAGAGCAACGATACGAGTTAACTTTCCGTAGATGCTTATCGGGGTCCAATCTTCGCAAGCTCCAAACTCCTGATCGAATCCGTACACAATTTCATCTTGGAGATCGTCCAGAGTGCTTGCAAGGTTTCTAGTAAGATCGTGTTTTATAGCTCGAGTGACTGGCTGGGACGGCCCGATACCGGTATGATCTTCCGCCATTGATATCCTGATCTCTTCCGCGAATGACGCCTGGTCTTCCGGGAGGTTCCTGACCTCGTTGATGACCGATCTGGGCAGAATGACAATTGGAGATTTTGATTGAATGATGAAAGGGCTATCTGGATACTAGTGGAAATTCAGTAGAGCTACTTCTTTCTGATTACCTGATAATACTCACTCTTTCACTACCTTCAATCAGGGCTTGTCGCTGATCACCGGCACCCGGGACCACGACGACGGGTAGATCAAGCTTCTTGGCGCGGGCTAAGAGGAACCTGACAACAGAGACAATAATGAGGAATCCAGCAGCACTCAATAGCAGAGGAGAGTTGAATGCCGAAATCATTTTGATCCCCGAGGGTGCCATTGTCAGACTTTGAAAAAGCGATATATGGTTGGTTCTGTTTGAAGCTTTGTCCTTCACTTTGATATCTCACTGAAGATTCGTGTGGATATTTGGGAGGTCACTAAACTTCAATACACGCGCAACAGACATACCAGCGAGAGAGTATATATATGTAAATATAGAGTAATAACGATCGAAGAAAACCTGAGCTCAGCTTAATGCCGAGTCTCTCCAATTGAAACAGGAAAGACTTACCGCATTGCTCCCAGCACATCGACGTTCCCCTGTCGAGGATCACCAAGACCGACAGAGAATAGCTGAGAGAATAGCTGACAGAGACGAATGACAGAAGAAAAAACCGACAGAGCAACTTCTAGCCGATTCCCATTGCCTCTTCTCATTCGTCAAGCTGGCCGGCAACGAGTCATAGCTCGCTTCCGTCGCACATCTGTAACGATGAGACGGCAATCCCGCCATTCCGAGTTGGTATCATTGACAGTCGACCAAATATTTGTGTAACTACTGTAAGAGATTAAAATGTGAATACGATAATACGACAACGATGTGCCCTTTCTTTGAAGTGCCGGAAGGGTCCTTGCCGGCATTGTGCATCAAGGGGCTCGCTAAGGGGTACGAAATGCTGCGCTATAAAGTAATATAGGTGTGCTACCCTGCGCTCTGTAGCATAATTCTTCAATGCGAATTACATCGTAAGATTTAAAGTCGTATCTTATTATCATGCCACCTCCAAAAACACATGTGATTCTTATCTTAGGCGCCGGCGGCGTCTGGTAAATCGCGGCATTGGGAAGATAGGACTTGAACTTCCAAAACGTTCTCGTAACGTTAATGCATTGAGTTCCTTTGTTAAAAATCGTTAGGCACCTCTTCCGAGAACGAAGTTTCGTTATTTTTGAAGCTCGTCGGTTCAATTCTCGAAGTTCAGCCAAGATGTAGTGTCAACCTTCACTTGTTTATCTAATCCGAAGATCACCTGTTTGATATTGTGGTGTAAGTCAAAGTTGAGCGATTCATCAAGTTTAATACAGTTTGTAAAAGGTTGAACAATGAAATTAAGGTCTGTAGGGTAAGGCAAAACGGAGCCTAGGAGACAGAACTGCAAGCCTCTAAGAATCGAAACTGCTACTTTTTTGATTACGATTTCCTAGGTCAGCTTCCAAGAGGTTTCAATTCCAGAATACCTCGTACCAGACGCCAATTTTTTTTATCTGGGCTGGCAACCGAAAACACCTTGGAAAAGTAGATCTAGGAAGAGTTACCAGACGGGCCTTAGAGTTAAATTATGCACAGGCTCGGCAGCTCTTATCACAAAATTTCCGGTCGATCTTAGCGACTTGTGAACCTAAACCCGACGACAGACAGTCAGAGTCGGCTCGGAACGTCAACCCATCCATCTATCTTATCCATCATTTCATTCTCCAGTCCGGTCTAGTCCAGCAGCCCGCCCGAAGGTTCTGCGTCACGAAGACGAATACGAATGGTCCTCATCAGGAGGTAAATCTGTACGCCCGCGGCGTATTGATGTTGGACAAGGAAGCCGCCGGAAGATGCAGCTCCGTACAACAAGCTATGCTAGCTATTGAACTTTCATTAAGCTCAAGTAATAGCTGATCATAGTATGTCCTCTGCTTGTCCCAAGATCGAACAGGTCTATCTTCCGTGTACCACGTAGCTATGATATGGAAACTCCTCACCCCGTCCCCCACCCCCACTTCTTTTTTTTTCGCAACCTTCAGCGATCCAAGATGAGTATACGTATCCAAGCAAATCCTCGACCCCTATTATCACTCCTTCAGTCAGTAATCCATCCGTCTAACAATTTGGAAAAAGACATTTGTCCAGCTAGCAATGCCTCCCACGAGCTGCGTGTTTGAGCAGTTCCAGATTTATCCTAGTGTCAAGAATCTCGCTACCTGCAGCACCAGATCCGCGCTCACAACTACCTAACTTTAATAATAATTAGTAACTGCCCGGCGAATCTCGATTCTCTACACCGCTCTATTTCGCAGCTGACTGTCGGTTTTTCAGCTTGCGTTAGCAGATAATTTCAATAAGAAATGTTCCTCACGATGCTCTGAGAGTGTACCGCTATGCGCCATGCTTGAGGATAAAAAACAATATCGTGCTCGCCGCCTCTGGAAGCTGATATGCCGTTTATTCAATTCTATGCTTTTATTCCTCAACGAGCATATTTCGAGCTGCAGGAAACCTGTAGGAATATGAAGAGCTATCTATCGCTCGGCAGGAAGCCATCGAAGTGTCAGGGATGAATGGCGTGAGTGAAGGAATGGCGTGAGGAAAGCTTTGGTTGACAGGGTTGTGGAAGAGTTGTCAAGCAAGCAATATCGTTCGGGATTCATGGAGCCTATGATTTTGAGTCATTTGACCTATGAATGAGGCTCCAAGCGATGATGTTTGGAATATATTCAATCTGATAGTAATACAAGAACGGAGAATCAGGATCTAGAAATGGCACCAAAAGTGGACCGAGGCTCGATAGTTTCCGAATAGCCACTTCGAAATGTGATCCCTCCAAGATATCTAACCATCTATCGGATTCCAAAGCTTACATGTCCTCTTTGATTAAGTCGGCAGCCTTCTCTGCGACAGCGTACAAGGTAGAAGTCAGATGCCCGCAGACCTGGAAAGGTAGCACCCCAGCGTCTACAACTCTGACATTCTCCGTCCCATACACAACCAGTCTATCGCTCACGACTCCTCCAATATTCTTTGACATCATCGCAGTCGTTCCGACGGGGTGGTAATTACTCCTGTAAGTATTCTTGATCCAGGTAGCGAGGGTAGCATCATCGGCATCCTCAGCCAGGACATCAAAACCAGGAGAGATCTCTCCGGTGATGATGGAGGCCAGAGGCTCCGCTTTGGAGATGGTGTTGCGGATATACTTTCCGGACGCAACCTGGATGTCGGTATCGAAGTCGAGCATGAAGAAGTTGGGGTTGATGGTGGGCATGTCGCTTGGAGAGGCGGAGTTGATGTGGATGCTCCCTCGCGAGAAGGGGAGAAGCGACCAGAATGACATGTCTACAATAGAGCCGGTGACTGAGTTGAATACCTCGAGGAGGGGAACGCTGGAGTTGAAGATCAAGTTGTATTGAATGTTGAAGAAGGCTAACAAATCGACCTCTGCAACGACGTAGTTGTTCGCCTTAGCGACAGTCGCAGCGTAGGACTAAAGCGAGCTTTGGATCAGTACTGTATTTGGTGTGACAGTAGAAAAACAGTCGGAGTCTGGAAGGAACCTATGGAAAGATTTCACAAGTGCCACTCACAACTCCTAAGAACAGGTATGGATAATTTAGGGGCTACTTACTGGAATCTTAGCAGCCACAGATGCCGCGAATGTAGAATAATTGGCACCAAACATGTCTTTTGCTGTAGGGTACGAAATATATGAGTCTGAGCCCGTGAGATTCAAGTTAACTCCGAAGGTAAAGCCGTTGTTCACCTACACCAGGGAGTCAGTAAATGTTTTCGTGTTTTCGAAGATGCTTTAAGGCATGCAACAGCTGAAGCCAAATTGCCCTCTGTTATGGGGTTTAGCCTACCTGGTCTTGGAGGTTCTCGCCAACGGTCAGAAGTTCCACAACAACTTCAATGCCTAGTGGTTGGAGAATCCTGGGGTTACCAACGCCAGAGAGCTCAAGGAGGGCTGAAGATCGGACAGCACCGGCTGAGAGGATCACTTCTTTTCTGGCGTAGATTGTGGCAATCGTTCCATTTGCAGTAGTGACCTCGACGCCTTCAGCAACTGCACAACCGCCTGTAGCCTTGGCGCTTTTCTTCCAAACAATCTTGTTGCCCAGAGTGTTAGGGTACAAGACGAGGTTGGTACGGTTGACAAATGGCCAATAGCTGCATTGTTTGGTCAGTAATAGTTCGATGGTCATATTATCAAATATTCCGGGGATACTCATAACACTTAAATTAAAGAAAGGCCTTTGCTAGTCAACATACTATGCTCTTGCTGCATCTTCTCGAACATTTGCAGTCTGATCAATGGTTCTCGGTGCGCTAGTGATACCATGCATCTTGCCACCGTTGACATCGTTATTCCAAGGCTGTCCGATACTGAAGTATGTCTCGTTGATAGTACTTTGGATAGTGCCGTTGATGGTACTTTGGATAGTACCATTGTTGATGCCGTTTGGATAACCAACCTTAACGGGTCCAGTGAAGCCATGGTACGAGGGGTTGTGGGTAATTCCGGCTGCTACTTGGAAGGGTGCTGGAGTTTGAAACTGCTCAGATTTGATGAAGTAGGGTAGCAGGCCTTCCCAGTTCCATCCCGAGTTACCGAGTGCCTCCCAGGCATCAATTTGAACGTCTTCAGCACGAGTGTATGCCATTCCTAATTCGTTTGTTCAGCCGTTGGAATACTCGTAGAATATGGCTTTCCTACCATTGATTGTGCTAGTTCCCCCAATTGCCTTCGCCGCTCTGACGGTTTGAGGCGCTCCATTGGCGTATGTCTGATTGACAGTCTGGTATTGGTAATCGATATCCGTGCCAAAAGCAAGTCCATATCCCCCGATGTCAGTTACATTCGCATTGTCAACAACCGAGCTTCCAGCCTCAATCACAGCTACAGTGACATCGTAAAGTTCAGTGAGGCGATTCGCAACAGTCAGTCCACTGGTACCTGCACCTACGATCACATAATCGTAGGTCAACCCATTGGTAGGTCGCCCTTGAGTAGAGGCGAGGAGAGAGAGGAGATGGACGAAGGAGGTGAATGAAGGAGCCATCGTGGAAGATTGAAGACAGTACTAGCAATGACCCGGATACCGTCAGAAGAAAGTGACCGAAACTCATTATATACCAATAGAATAGCAAGAATAGCAAAGACGGACAACCTGGGAATGACATCAGGCCCCGGGTGGGCCAGATGTTCGGGTGGATCATACAATTTGTTGACATCCCAAAAGAGCGTCTCCGAAAAAAATAAATTTATCAGCACTGACGACAAATTGATCGACCACTCCATTGAATCAGAAGATTTTCGGTCCTATTTCAATTTCCAAGGATACAACGTGAAATTGCAAAGCCAATTTTAACGGACCCGGCGCCCACTGCAAGCAGGTCTTGTTGCTATTTGCCACAGAGAGTAAAACTCGAGCAACTGTGAACAAGATGTGGTCCTTTTGATCTGATCTACAAGCTTTTCTCCTAGCCGAGACACTCCCACGGAAGGATTATCAGGGACTCCAACGGAAGGATCATCCACCCACCGCGGCTTGTTTGCCTTACTGTATGCTTAGTGATGGACTGTGGATCTCTGTCTTCACGGCCGCGTTGCGGGTCTGTAAATGTTGGTTGATAAACGTGACAAAGACATTGCCAAGCTGCTTGAAAGTAAGTAGCAATCTTGATCGCAAGAAGTAACATCCGGTCAGACCTGAATCAAAACGTAACATGCAGCCCCCAGTCTATGAGCGACTCTTGCGGCTGCGAGGAATAAAAGTTGCTCAGGTCAGTCCGCAGGTATTCGAACAGTACGAAGTATATCGAAAGGCCTGTAGGCAGAAATCAATATAATAGCACTGAAGTCGAGCAAAATAGCTCATCGGGCCTTGGTTGTATAATCTGTTGTGGCTAATAAAGCGGATTGGTTTATTATGCTGAACTATCCTTTTCAAGCGAGATCCAAGAGGGGCAGGAGCTCTGAGAATTAACGCGTCCGTCCTGTAAGGCTCGGAGATTAAGCTCAAGAGAAAAATTAATATTTTTACACAGAGATCAACACCTACACATGACTCAAACGTAGCATTGTCGCGGGTGTCCGCATAGTTTGCAGCTATTATCGTCAAATCGGAGACCGAACTTCTTCCAATTTATTTTCCCGTCGCAAGCAAGCGGACGTACTCCAGACCTTTTGTCCTTGCAATAGGAAAGGTTGCAAGGAAGTACGCGCTTGAAGCTGGCTGCTCCTGTTTTCCGGAGCTTGAAGCCGGTTGGTTGCTCTTGCCATAATTCTGTCTCTTGCATTCGATGCTTAGGTTCAGAATTATCCACAAACACTCCAGGCGACTCGAAATGAAGACATAGCAATGTGGTAAGCTCTGCCCTGGCTTGTGATGATTGCTGGTGCTTTCTCTTCAGGCGGGTAACAAGAGTGAGGTTTCGGGAAGGAAATGAGGTGGCCCCAAATGGATACTCCATGCTTTTGCTACTCGAAAATATATATTGTAAATATGGGGACAGTACCGTGAGTATCGAAAAGCAGGAGGAAAAAGTTGGTTTCTATTCCGTTCCTTGCTCAAAATAATATAAAGACAACTTTCTAACACCACAAAGGCATTGCGGTGCGAGCTAGTGGGCTAGTGGCAAGGCGACGGAATGTAAACAAGCCTCCTCTCTACCAGTTGTGCCCGGGTGGCGCCTATTTCAATTGTTATCCCGGCAAATTTTTGCATCGAGTTCTCGACTTTCTCCTGTAATATGCTGGATTTTGAGATCTCTCCGAATCCCCCAAGTCCCAAATTGCAGCATCAAGCACATGCTTGAGTCCCGTCCAGCATCTGCTATCTCAGGTCACCATCAACGCAATCTCCTATACTGGATGGTGGCCATCCTTGACCTGCATTCAAAGATGCTCATCTTGGAGACAGACGCGCTCGGTGGTACCCATATCCGTTTCAATTTGCCCCGGATTTTCCTCTGGCGGCTTGAATTTCTTGCTTTTTGAGCATCGACTACAAAGCAGTATTCGTCGAAACCAGATGTTTGGGCGGATCTTCTAGCATTGCCGGAATTATGCGTTCGATCCAGATGTTCAACAAGCCCCTTTTCACAAATATTTCTTCCCAGCAGCAGCGACTCGACCCTTAAAGAACGGACTCTTGACCTCCATGTTGACCTGGTAAAACGGATTCATTATCGTCTTGACCCAACTCTCGTAGACTTCCGTAAAGAACTGCTTGATAGCTTCCTCTGTCTGGGGGGACGTCGGGTTCGCGGCGATTGATGTACTTGCACGGCTCGTAGTCGTGGCGGCAGGTTGAGATGGGGCATGGAGTAGGAGGAACTTGACATCTATGCCGTAGTCAGCATTATTCGCCGCTGGTGTAGTAGTTGTGCCCTTACTTCCACCCGTCATGAAGCAAGAGACGTAATTGTTGTAGAAACGGTCGATGCACTTCAGGTACCTGGTAACTGTCAATATAAAGTCCAGTCAGCCACAGTGGAGATCGTACATTTGCCCAGTTCCCCATTGCACCTCCTCCACGATATCCAGACTGCTGTGCACAATGAACTGGTTTACATGACGTGCCTGTTCCGCAAACCTAGCAATCCCATCACCGCCCTGCTTCGCCGTACCAAATTCATATTCAAACAGAGGGTTATCTTGCGTACCAACAATGGCAAAGTAATAAGACATCTTGACTGACTGTCTGTAGAGAGGTTGAAGTTGTGATGGGAGGCTTGATTCGATTCCCTCCTGTTCCTTGCAGGGAATGCGGCTGATCCCACACGAAAGGGCTTGGCGTCGAGAATTCGTGATCAGCTTCAACGTTGGATTGTCCAGAGGCAACCGACAACACCACCATGTTCGGAGCTTTCAGACCCACCAATTCGTTATGCTCGGGATTGCTCTGGTAAATCATCAACCGTTTAGTATTTTCTGCGCATCTTGTCTTCTAATGCTGACGGCAATTGGTCTACAGGAAGATCCCATGGCGCCTCTCCAAATTTCAAAAAGCGCGACAACGGAAACGCCTACGAGCAGTTGATACAGTCGTGGCAGTAGTGGACAAAGCACTGGCAAAGCAGGGAATTACAACGAAGGCTGTGGAGAGATGGAAGGACGAAATGCCTATTGAGCAGGAGATGTTGCCGAAAGACAAATACACGATATTCGACCGAAAGGAGAAGAAATACAGGAAGAGCATCAGAAGTGAGTATTTCCTGTACGGGAAGCGTGTTCGAGTCTACTGACGATCCACCTGCAGAGCTTCCAAAATGGACAAGAGTTTCGCAAAGAGTCAACCCACCTGGATACTGATGGAAGAGCAATGGTCGGGTGCAGAAGGACGAGTTTTTTGTTGCTTGTAAAGAGTACATATCCGGCGTTTGGGTTTCGTGTACACTAGGCAGAAGGGACTTGACATGGAAGATCCAATGCCAATCAGGTCAACTCCGAAAGCATTGCTGCTTACCCCAATTCCATCTTCAGCTGGCCCTGAAGACGCATCTGATGTTCCATTTCCCAAGGCGCCATTCAACGCCTGTAGAACTACAAAAAGACAGTGCAACCTATCTACCCTTACCGTACTCCTCTTCCTCCTTGACTCTTTCCGCTTGAATGGCACGGCCGAGACCTCCTCTTCCTTCATCATACTCCTCCCGGTACTCGTCGCGCACTTGGCCACCAGACTTTCCCCTTCCATACTGTCTTCCCTCTTGAAATCCAGGATCCAGGTCCGTCCGAATGATGCGCTCGTCAAGCTTAGTGCCTCCAATATACTTCATGCAATCCAGCGCGTCCTGGTGGGTGTAATACTCCACAAAACAGAAACCGCATGGCGTCTTGCTGAACCTATCCAGCCCCATGATCAACCGCTTTATCTCCCCACACTTTGAAAAGAGTTCGTGGATCTGTTCTTCAGTCGTGTAGAAGGATCTGACGCGCCGTATTAGATCTGCTCTCGAACTCAATATCCCCATGCATAATCAGCCAGACGTACAGATTTCCCACGTAGAGGGTGGTGGCGTCTTTCAAGGGGTCCTCAGCTGGCTCTTCTGGCGTGCGGTCTCGATCATCGTCTCTGCTGTAATTGCGCTTCTTGTTCTAGAGATGAAGTGGTCAACACGGATGGCTTCTCTACTTTGCTCGAAGTGCAAGGCCTTATAAATACATACTCTGCTCTGATAGTAAGCACTTGGCTTGTCAAGCCTATCTACCGTATTTCGTACCGCTCCAGGCATTTTTCGTTGTTTTGTTTCCGCGTATCCACCCTTCTCGTCGTGCATGAAAAAGTTGGATGGTCTCGCGACGCGCTAGCTCCAAGTTCCTACTTGTGAACCTCAAAAGCTACCTCAACTCTTTGTCAACAACGGACAAACTAGCAAACCTGAGCACGTCGCACCACAGCAGTGAATGACTCTTCAACTACGTATAAGAGCCTGCACAGCTTCGCAAGCTCTTCGCTGACCTCAAATATCCACTATGAAGCAAAAAATTGTCGGATGGACGCCGGCATGGCTCTCGAAGCCCAGCCCAGGCCATACTGTCTTCTCTGCGGCTGCCAAGAGTGCCGACTTCATTCCATCACAATCCAATGGGTTAAATCCCGCCAGCAAGAACACCGCGAAATCTGGACCCCGTCGGACGATTGCGCGTCGTGGTACAGAGGTCTTCGTAGCTGTTGGGAAGGAGATACGATGGGCGGATCTGGTCTACATGAAGGAAGCCTTCGAAGAGAAGGAGGGGAGCAAGAAGACTTTTTTGAACGGCAAACTGAGGGATAGTGTCGCCAGCCAGTATGAGGAGGACCACGCTCAAGGATACCGGGTACGTTCCTCTGAAAGTCACCCTTGGTAGAGAAATGCTGATTGATCATTCTAGACTATTAAAACCCAAGTCGCAGACGACATTCGCCAGCTTATAATTTCTCCCTATGGAAACTACCTCGCGATCCTCACTACACATACTGTCCACATTACGCTCTTACCCGAATCATCCCAGCTCACAGCTTCTGATACTGCGCCCTTGAAGTTGAAGTCCTATACGTTAGGTCCTACCACGCACGTCACATCGCAAGCGGGTATATCTTCAGCTCTATGGCACCCTTTGGGCGTTAATGGACTGTGTTTGGTGACTGTCACGCAAGATGCTGTGGTTCGGGTGTGGGAGCTGTCCTTGACAGACAGGTGGTCATTCGACAAGCCTACATTGGCTATTGACCTCAAGAAGTTGGCGGATGGTCAGTCTGTAGACCAGGACTTTGGTGCTTCAGTATCTGGTATGAGCAAGGGCTTTTCACCAGACTCATTTGAAATGGAGGTGGCATCAGCTTGCTTTGCAGGGAGGGGTAGCGGGGGATGGTCGCCCATGACCTTATGGGTTGCTATGAGAGAGGGCGACGTTTATGCGCTTTGTCCATTGCTCCCGGAGAAATGGTCGCCTCCTCCAACTCTCATACCCTCGCTATCTGTTTCGATCGTCGCAAAGGTCGCAGCCATGGAGGATGACCCAACGGTATCCCACAAGTCAAAAGTTCTTGCCCAGCAGCAACTTGCCTGGATGTCTGAAATTGATAACCAGGAGCCTATACCTGGCGAATCTCTACCCGGTGACCCCCCTGCGGAAGTGTACAGCCGGCCGTCCAATCCTGGAAAAACACCCAAATTGCAAGGCCCTTTTGACCTGGACCTGGCGGCGGATGATTCAGAGGAAGCTCTGGAGGATTTACTGAGTGACATTTATGTCATTGGAGGCAAGATCGACGCAGACCAGCTGATGTTCGGCGAGGAAGACGAGCTTGAAGTGGACGAAGTTGATCGAGAAGGGTTATCCGTTGGTGTTGTTTGCCTGCTCACTAACAGCGGCCGACTGTCTGTTTGTCTAGACATCGATGGCATCGAAGCACAGTGGCTACCTAAAAAGAAAACCAAAGCCCGGATAGCCCATGAGGAAGTTGATGTACCATCTCTACTTACGTTTGAGGTCTTGGAAACACTGAAAAAGGACGAGACGTGGGAAGGGGATTGGCCAGTCATCAGTCACGATGTGCTTTCCCGTTATGCATTCTACATTACAAGCAGCGGCACTGTCACCTATATCTCTCTTCAGCCTTGGGCATTTCGCCTCGATGCCGAGTTGAATGATGCTACAGCTGGCGCCGAATTCCGCATCGACCTGATGGCCAAGGCCGAAAATTCGACACGGCAGCGCGTTTATACACAAAAACCAATTGATCGCAATTCGCCCCTCGCCGCTTGCTCTTTGATCGACGACCCCGATCTTGGTTACTTCCTCCTAACAGCATCTCCGCGCGGACCGGTCTCGTTGAATTTTGAGTCTCGTTACGATAAGGCAGTAGAGGATTTTCGACGATCTCGATCACTCTCATCATCCTACGAGTCGGAGCCTGATAAACCTATGGTACTATGCCACCCGCGACCTGTGTATGAACCCTCGTACGTTCTCGGCGTGGACTCTGCATTGCCACAATTGCTCGAGAGGCTCGGGCACAGCAAATACAAACGATTGCTTAAAGAGCCTGTGCGGCTTTCACCTGCTACGTTGCAAATCATGGCGGAAGCACACAAGGTTCTGAGCGACGAGACCCATCGTATCGGAACCGCGGCTGCAGAATTGTTCCGACGCTGCACTCGCTTGCAGGTGGAGTTGAAGGAGCAGATCCAGAAGGCCAATGACGTTGCAGCGCGTGTAGAAGCAGTTACAGGCGAAGACGTTGATGATGGACCGGTGCTTTCTATCAACGACCGAATCGAGTCTAGAATCAGCGCTGCGACGGAGAGGCAGAAGAACCTAACCGAGCGAATTGAGGCGATCAAGAAGAAAACCAACAAGGGCACAAATCGAGAATTGAGTGACAGGGAGAAGGCTTGGGTTAGCGAAGTACAGTTGTTGGAGAGCAAGATATTTGGCAACGGTGAGAATGGGGATTCCGGAACGAGGAAGGTGAAAGAAGCATGGGAGAGATACGAAGAAGTCCGAGCACTGAAGGAAGAGCTTCTAGAGCAGATCGAAGATGCGACTGCAGAGGACGATATCCCCACAACGCCCAACTTGCAAGTCCCCTCAGAGATCCGGAAAGCAAAGATGGCTCAGATAATGGGGCTGCTGGATCGCGAAACTGCTATGGTCGAGGCGGCGAAAAACCGGTTGGAGCGGCTGAGTCTGTCTTGAAGAAGGACGTGGATGGGGATCCAATGTATCAGGGCTAAACACTAGGAATACCAACCAGCGGCTTTGGTTGTTGTGTAGTAATACCCACAGTTTTTGAACATCTACAACTTTTTTTGCGGGTTAAGAAATCGAACCCCTTGCCTTTGACGCCGACAGTCACTGATCCCTGCCTGCCTTTTTCTTGGTTGTCTCAGGGATGTGAAGGTAGCGGGCCGCTGGTTGTTGCAGTCAATCAAGGGATATATTTAAGTAGTACCGGTAGTAGTGTATGATTTTTAGGAATGGGCTAAACGTTGTCTGTTAGAGGCTTGTTGACTACCGAACCCTCCTCCTGTGATCTGGTACCAAATCGAATCGCTTCCGGCGCACTACCTACGCTGTTCTACCGGTATTCCCACTGGTCTCCCTGCACTGGATGTTCCTGAGAAGGCTGGCATGGCTCGTGCGTGCGTATTCGACTACCTAGGTATGCGACTCTGCCCTCCAAGAGACTTCATCCCAGGTAGTAGTAGCAGCGCAGCACCTTGAGCGAGTCGGGATGAACTTCTTGAATAGGGAACCCGGTCTCAAGTGTTCGAGTTTCAATCCCTTGAATTTGCATTGAATTCCAGTGCCTTCCTTGGAATGCACCGCCTTTTTTTTTTGGGCATTCTCGCAAGTTCTAACCGAGCAGCCAGCCATTATCTATTGATATCTCGGTACGTATTGACTTCTGGAGGAGGTTTCGCTAATTGAGGAACGTTACGCCATACTCTATACGTACAGAGTAAAGACTTGGTCTCACATTGAGTTTCCCAGGCCGAGCGGCGAGAAGGGGGCAGGGCAGGACAGGCCAGGGCCGGGCAAGGGCATGGCAGTTAAAAGTTAAGCGAAACCCCCTATTACTACGAAAGTGCTCAGATGCCAATATCTGCCCGGGCAGTCCTTTCGTAGGCCTTGTCTTTAGATGACACCCCAGGCCCTTCTTGTAACATACTTCAGCCGAGAAATAGATACCGGCTATGGCGCAGAGAACACCTCAATAGCAACAGCATTTTCAGTGCGCATACATTTTCAATGATTATGGATGCATGCATTTAGAAACTTTCGGAACCGGATAGGTACGTAGTAAATTGTCAAATCAAAAGTTAGTAATAAGTTATGATGCGTCTCGGTCTGGAATGCCTGGCGACGAAAGTTCAGATGTTCAGATCGACTCCCTAAAATAGCGCGCTAGAGCCTACTCCGTTGACAAGGCGGAAGTATGTTGTATCATATATCTGGAGCATAACTCTTGTGTTTCTCGTGTCCGTCTTGGCACTACTGTGGATTCTTGAACACCCTACCTAGTCGAGCTATGATTAAAATTGGACTGAATTCCAACGGTAGGAATGGGAATCGGCCACTGAAGAAGTAGCCTTTTACACTCCTTTTTATCATTCCCTCCTTCATCGTGTAAACATCCAAAATGGACGACGACAGAGCCAAAGAAGAAGTCTCGCTGCTGTCCGAGTTCTACACCGATGATGGTGACCACCACACACAATCACCCCCCACGCCGCCTCCGGACTTTGACATCAAAAATGAGGAAGGCGAACTCACACGAAGCCAGACTACAGTCGGCTCCGTGAAGTATCTACTCGGTCAAATCATACTTCTAATTAAGACTGCGCTGCTATCACTCGTCCCCAGCTTCATACCGCGATATGGCTCCACGGCAAGGGAACCTCTATCAGACAGGAGGCTGTCACCGACAGCATATCTAGATGGCTTACGAGGTATTGCATGCTTCGCGGTCTTCCTCGTTCATTTCGTCCACAACTGGTTTCCTGGCCTGAACCACACCTATGGCGCCTCGCCAGCCGATAATCACATCTTCCAAATGCCCATCATCCGCGTCATCATGGGGGGAGAAGCAGCTGTCTCGACATTCTTTGTGATCTCGGGATACGCCTTGTCGTATCGAGCGCTGAGCAAAATCCAGGAGGGCAATAAAGTCGAGTCTTGTAAGTCCAAGCAGAAGCTCATAGTCTCCTGTACAGGCTCCTCGGACACTTTGCTGACCACCTGACCATGAAGTGGATGTCCTATCCAGCTCCACTTTCCGAAGATGCATGCGAATCTATCTCCCCTGTGGTGTAAACACCTTCATTTGCATGCTCTTGCAGTACAACGGTTTGTTTACTCCAGACCCGTTGAAGTGGAACACCATTCCACCCCAATTGCCCACCTTCCTGGCCCAGCTGCAAGACTGGTGGAGCCATCAGATGGTGTTGATGTATCCTTTTCATGACGTGGAATCGGGCCCGTACTCGCCACCTTACAACGGTCACATGTGGACAATCCTGCTGGAAATCCGCGGGTCCTTCGTGGTATACGGGACCGTTCTCGCTGTCTCGAAACTCACTCCCTTTTGGAGGGCGGCGTGCTTGTTCGCTTTTGATTCCTACCTATGGTATATGGCCAAGTGGGATCTGTTCCTCTTTGTCAGTGGCATCATTCTTGCGAACTTGGATATTCCGCGACACGTCGCCGCTAAGCGGGGCAACCTTCCACCGGCGGTTCCGGAAGGCGAGGTTTACCTGCCCACCCACGAGCCGGGAATGGTCCAGATGACGATCGAGACGCCCAAGCATCATCATTTCCTCTCGAAAGTCATGCAATTCAAGCAAAAAAACTCGGCTGGCTTCCATCAAGTTACCGGTCCGATCTTCCTAGTTGTACGGATGTTTGCCCCTTACATACTCTTCATAGTCGCCCTCTGGCTCCTCTCCGTCCCCCACGTCCCTTTCGGTAACGACTTCCTGTTCTCCTTTGTGCCCGCAAGATACGCCACCATCCACGCCTTCTTTGGCAAAGAGAACGCCGCGATCCGAATCATCGGCTCCGTCATGCTCGCATTCTGCCTCTCCCTCTCGCCCGCCTCGCCGCCACGCAGCGACGCTCCCGAATCCGACGAGGCGCCGCCGCCGCCGAGCCTCTTCAGCCGCGTACTCGCCTCCTGCCGGAACTTCAACCTGCAGTGGCTCTTTACGAACGCCTTCTCGCAGTACCTCGGCCGCGTGTCCTTCGGCTTCTACCTCATGCACGGCCCGGTCCTCTTCTGCATCGGCACCAAGATCCTCACGCCGGCCGCGAACGCGTGGAACGCGAACCACGACGATCGCGCCTACCAGCTCAGCTTCGCGAAGGCGGTGGTGGTCAACACCATCTGTGTCTTCTTCGCAGCGGATTGGTTCGCCCGGGTGGTGGACGAGAGGTCGGTCAGGTGGGCATCGGCTGTGGCCAGGTTCATGTCTCGCAAGGCGAAGACCGTCGCTGCGTCCGGATCTTGAACTGTTTCCCTCCTTTTTTTTTCTTACACCTTTTTCGGCTTTTTCTCTCCGGAGAATAGGGCTAGTCCAATTCCAGTCAGGTATTGAACCACCTCACTACTCACTACCACACTCTCTCTGGGCTATTTGTGATGTGTGAACCCAGGAGAGAGAGAGAGCTCCCGGCCGGTCCGACTTGCCCGACAGCCCGGAATTTTTTTCCCTCTTTTTGTATCGAACTATAGTGGCTGGCTGTCTTTCTCGGGAGTCAAAAGTGCCTGCCTGGCTTTGTTCTTATATATAGATATAGAGAGCCGCAATAATTTCAATCATGATCATCCTCTACTGGAAAATCAACCACGTCCCCATATCCATTCCTTTCAAAATCATCCATCATTCTGGCACCTGCACCATAAGAACAAGCAACATGCGATTCCAAGTCTCGTCGTAGAACCATCCAACCCATCCCATCCCATCCTCCTGCGATGCGCCCATGGATGAGATACCTGCAACGCCGCATACACATATATACTATTTAGCGCCGGATCAGAGCACGCCGCGGAAAAAAAGTAGCTTTGGCATCATTCCAGCTTTTCTTCCTGCGGGAGCAGGGAGGGCGGTGGGCCGGAGCGGATATAGTTTCCCAAGCCTCGACATTACGTAGTGGGGTTCTGTGATTCGCATGCCTTAACCCAGCACCTGACGGAGTACGGAGTAAACTGAATGCCGCTCCATGTCAGCGCAGACTACTTTTTCCGTGCGCTGGCCGCCGGCCCCTGAAGGTGATCGGCTGCCGCCTCGTCCTTTGAAGTAAAATACTACTACGTACTACGTGGTAGCTGGGCTGGGACGAGCGTAGAGGCTGAACCGAAGCTGGGTTATTGCAAGGTCAGCTTTTGCTACGTACGTAGTACGTACTATCCCCCCGTAGGAATGAATATATATCGAAAGTAGTAGTGCTATAATTTTGCAAAGGCTCTTACTAGGGCTCGAACCAATAAACTTACTAGTAGTATATATCGATTCAACCTTGAAAAGTATTTCTAAGCAAGTATTTATTTCGTCTGTGCTATAGAGTTGATAGGGCGCTGAGCTATTGAGAAACTACCGCTCTACAATTTACTACAGGGCTGAACTGGGTCCGGCATTTAAATACCAAGGGGGATGGTGGTTGTAGTAAACCGCGAACTGATGTACGGAGAAATAAAAGGATAGCGTCTGGTCGGGTTCAGATTCGATTGATTGCGAGGTCTGAACGTGAGTGAAGCACGAGATAAAAGTATCGGCACGGGTAACGAATAGGAAGCGTGAAAGAGAGAGAGAAAGCAATCGTCTATATCACATGTAGAGCACGTAAGGACGGCTACGCTGCACAATATATACGTATCTCATACGAGTCCTTTCGTTGTTAAGACACGCGCTCTCATCGCTCGTAAATAGATTAACCAAGCGCCGCGTCTTTAAAGGCCTTCAAAATATAGAATACGTCGCCTTGCTTGATCGATATAGGTTTCCCTTGAGCGGCCTGAGAAATAGATCTGTATCTCGTCTCGATTATATTGATTGATTTGGATTCTCAATATGGGCGACATAAAGCGGCGGGTTGGTTCAAGTGGATTTGGGTAAGGTGAGGCATGCAAAAAACAAATCCACTTGGTGCGAGTCATGGGAAACAATCTCCCGTTTCCCAGCACCTCAAGCCCAGCCAGTCCTGACACCAGACACCAACCCTCTTAACCCAATTGCGAGTCGTGATTAGTTTTGTTCGTCCTTCGTTGCGCACTACTTAGGTACCGGTACCTAGGTAAAGGGGCTCCGCTCTGCTTGGCGCAGTCATATCAACAAAAGGGGATTCTCGCGCAAAGACAGCGAGATCTCAACAACCTCTCTCCCTCTCCCTGTATTACCGACCACCGATACTGCTACTATCACCTCACCAATTGTGCCACCCTCACCCAAGTGTCTACGGATGCCGTATATGGAACTTGGCACGAGGGAAAATGTCTGACACTTGGGAAATGCGTTGCAGTCAGCAAATCAATTGAGAGTTTAGAAGTCTCGTCCCCTCCCTGACAATGTTGAATAGCCAGTCCTATATAAACAAAAGTCACATCGACCCTTCGCTTTTGGCTCGAAGCCCTAGCATCTCTCTCCACCGCTTCCATCGCCTCCATCGCTTCCATCTCATCCCATAACCGCCCGTGCTTGGATCAAGAGAGTTGTTTGCAACTATTTTCAACGGGTTTTGTTGGGTCAAGGATCGCAGTTTTGAACTTCAGCGCTACACAAGACTTCGTTCGGTTCACACACTTGAACTAGAGGGTCCCAGAGTTCGCCCGAACCCTTGCGCTTCTCCTTTACCGATTGACTTCCTCAGGGCACTTCTCCTTGGGTGGCAGTAAAGGATCAGGACTGCAGATGCCTCCAGGATTGCAAATTCTGCTGCTCCCTTAGCGCTGCTCCTTCATCGACCAAACTTCTAGCACCTCAGGGCGCTTCTCGGGTGGCAGTAGGTATACCGGTAGGACGACAGATGCCTTCGTTATCGCAAATTCTGTTGGGGTCTTGGCGCTTCCTTCTAGACGGCACAAAAGCACGACAGTCGCCTTGTGAATCGCAAATTCCCGACTTTTAGCACCTCTCATCCAAGGACGCTGCGCCGCCACTGAATCCGTTTATTAGCTTCGCTTGGCCTCGCTTTAAAAATTGTCATTCGAAAATTTATACGGGGCCAACAAGAGAGAGAAAATACCTTTCTAGGGTAGAAGCTTGAGAGGGGGATACTTGCGGAGCTGGGAGAGGGATACCTAGCGGTTGCTAAAGCCGAGATTTAGCTGCAATAGGGGTTCTCATGGCGGGAAACCTTGACGAGCCATTTGCAAAATCTTGGTCCGTGGATGACTCGGTTGTATGCTGAGTACGTAGTAGATACTGGGATCGCATCCTTCCCGGGAAAGTGATGTGGTACCTATACGGTACCATACTACTAGTAGTACGTTGTATACTTCTGTACAGTACGGCCCATTCAGCCAGGTCCATTACTCGACCATGGGACCTCCAAGATTCCGGTGTCGCATCGAACATCACTGAGGTCCTACAAGGAGCTCCGCGTCTCGAAAACGTTGTAAAAACTCTAAATCTCAAGCTCGACCTCCGCATAGGCACAACTAGCTTTCTTATCAGAAACACTGTGCTTAGCGTCGGCTTATAAATAGGCATATCACGTGCTAGTACGTCAGATAATCTTTGAAAAGCCAGTTACTCCATATATTGTTGATGATACTTAATGTATTTATTAACGTCGGGCGGATGGCAGGCTTTGCTCCGCCTTAAGACATCTTATAAGGTATGGCGACGTGCTAAGTAAAGGAATTGTATATAAAGTATTATCTTATCGAAAATAAAAACCACGTTAAGGAAAAGCAGCTCTCTTGAGTGTTAGATCCATCAAGATGAGAAGAGATGTACATGGATTCCACTACGATGGCTGCTATACCGATCGTGATGACGAGGTTGAGGAAGTCCGGCAGGCCTCTAATGCCTGTGTCGTTCATGGCGATAACGAACGGAGAAGCAGAGACACCAGATCCACCGAAGATTCTCTCGTCGAGTTGTCGTCTTTACGGGTCAAGATGGTAATAGAGGTACGGCAGCAGAGAGCATAAAGGTGGAGGTCACACGGCTGGGAACGAGCTGGGTAGCCGCGTGCACCATGGAGTAAGTAGCGGGCAGAGCTGGCTTTCCCAGCCACAATGCAGGGGAAGAATTGGTCGCTGTTTTTCTCAAGTCAGTTGGGGGAGCATTGCGGGGGAAGAGAGATTTATTGACCCCACAGCCCAGATAACATATAGCGCACTATTAGCAAGCCCCTTGAGGCCGTTGATAGAGACTGAATAGCCACGCTAGATTTCGCTGATCTGCTTCTCGCTGTTTGATCTAGCACTAAGAGGCATAGCAAACCCCGCGATGATGAAGATGATGAGAGCGGTGATCTGCAGCAGCGATGCGAGGTACTAAACCAACCGAACCATTTCGTCTATAGCAGAAATAGTCATCCGCAAAATACGAGGAAGATCGTATACTACGCAGCTTCTTGGATGCTACCCTTGGCCCAGTAGTTGATGATGACCGAGAAGAAGGTTGCTTCTGAGGCGACGACGGCAGTGAGCCCCGAAAGCTAACGCCGGGCCGACCAAGTGATTTGCGTACCCGAATAAGTTGCCTGAGACGGGGGAGGCGATGATCATTTCGGAAAGGGTCTGGAGTGAAGCCCATACGGTACTAGGGTGCAAGCCATGCCATAGCCCAGTACGAGAGAACCTGTTCCCCTATCACACAGCGCTTTGCCGGTTGCGATGAAAAGGCCGCGGCCTATTCCAGAGCCTAAACAGATGACCTGGATTTTATGTTTCAGGCAATGTAGTATTCTTGCAGAACATATCACCCACGCGAGAATCATTCGCTTCGACAGGACTCGCTTCATCTCGCCATGGCTCTCGATATTGTTGACCACCTTCTATATGTGGTCGTCATTCTCGCTCGGCGTGAGGTAGCCTGTCGTTGGTAAGACGGCCTCCACGGTCAATATATCATGCATGTGAATTGGCTATGATGGACTTGGAGGAAATTTTCTTTCAAAGAACTACATACTGGAGCGAGAGAAAACGAGGAAAGGAGGTATTCCCGGCAAGAAAAATTCATTGTCTGAATCGACTGCGGATTGTACTACGTCCCAGGCGTAAGTACCGTAACCAGGGGGTTTAAAGTGGAAACTAAACTTTTGAGGCACCCTCGAGGGGTAATACTTAGTTAGGCCTGTACCGTGGTATGTACCGGTAGTGGAAAAGATCCACGGCTCAAAGTTGGCCACGAGGTAGCCACGACAGTTCTGTTAAACACGTCTTGACACCTCCGGAGTTTGCAGACGGCTGAACTCAAAAACCACCAACTCACTGGTATCGGCAAATCTCGGCATAAACATCGAAAAACAAATGATAAGCCAACGGCAACAACTATAATCACAACAGTTATAATGAGCTTGATACTTCCATAACTATATTGAAAATAAAAGATACGCATGCGATTGAAAAAACCACCTTACCAAAGTCTTGCACAAAGGCAACGGGACTCCAGCGCCATTTATGCACACCCGCTTCACCCCCAGCCACCCTTGACAGTTTGTGAAACGACCTCGAGATTTGTCTGAGTTGTAATAGTCACCGCCATCACGATTCGCATCTCGTGTCTGGCATCTATCACGCCAAGCTCTTGAGACTTAAACCTAGAGTTGCCGAGAGGCCGAGAGTTGCTGGGAAACGCCATCATCATGATTGGATTCTAGTTTCAGAGCGGGGGCTGCTTCTTATCACATCCAAGAGATCGTATTTTGGTTTCGGTCTATTCGGGATCATCTTTTAACCTCGAGAAGCACCTCCCTGTTATTGACGTCGTCGCCGTCGCCATCGCCGTCGCCTACCTGTTTCTCTTTCGCGAGCTCGCTTACCTAAGCGCCATGCCAGCGAAGAAACCTCGACCGCGCCGGTCAACAGCAGATCCAGCTCCTCCACCCCGTCCGCGGACGCACGCTTTTACGGGATGCCTCACATGCAGAGAGCGTCATGTGAAATGCGACTTGGGGCGGCCAACGTGTCGGAACTGTGCCCGTCTCAAGGTGTTGTGCGAGGGCTACTCTCGCAAATACTCGTGGATGCCACCGAAGATGCCCGAGGGTAGAGGACGAGTGTCTGATACGAAGTCGCGGCCGGGGGTTGAGGAGAGTCAAACAAGTCGTCGGGTACTTTTTTCAGGTCGACATCCTTGAGTGTCCCTTTGGAGCGGGAACTAACAACGTTCTAGATGAAGAGAGGGAGGCTATGGTCCTTCGGATGAGGGACGAGTGCTGTGTGAACTCGTCCTACCTGGATCTGGACCGCGTTCTTCGAGAATTGCAAGAAAAGGTTAGCGAAGTAGGCGAATTCACCAGGATTGGACCTTTTAGCATCTTTCCGAGTTGTCCACCCGCAAAGGCTCCTCTACCCCAAGGAGAGACTTTTCCGATGGTAGAGGTCGTGGAGCAGACGGAACGAACCCAGAGTCCTGTACCAGATTTATCACTCTCGCCATTTCCTTGGGGTGAGATTGACGGGATCATACATTGGGACCTCGACACTGCCCTGGTCCCGAACGCAAAAACACTCGTCAGTGCGGATGTAGACTCAAACTGGGAAATTGGAATTGCAGACTCGTCACTAAGCTTTGCAAGCGATATCAACGACGCAGATATGGATCTGCTTCCAGGTTTGGGTTCGAAGCTAGACCAGTGTTTTGGAGTGAACATTGGTAATACAGCTGCCAAATCTTTGCGTGTACATGCTAACATATCAGAACCAACTGGAGCTACTAGTCATGATCCAATGTCCTCGCAACTGAATTTCTTAGATGCAGTACCCACAATATTGCAGATGCCAAACACCGAGAACATGTCCAAAATTCCACCTGAAGCACGGCTTCTCTTAGATTACTATTCTTCCAAAATTATCGACTGTCTGTCTATGTCACCGTTTCAGAAGCCTCCGTGGAAGACGATACATCTACCCTGTGCCATGAGTGCTCTCGCCGAGATTATGGTGCACGGGGAAACAAGAAGCCTTGCGAAGATGGCTCTCTTTTATGCGCTGCTCTCCATCAGCTCCTTTCACGTGAGCTGTGTGAACCAAGAATCAGAGGAGCAGTCGCAACATTGGAAAGCGAGAGGAGTCGAGCACAAGAATACCGCAGAAAGGTTCCTACGACTGGCACTTGATAAGAATCTGCCCAAGGCGAAGAGAGGCAAATACAAGGAGGTACTTATGAGTACACTTAGCATGGTTACAATCGGAGTATGACCTGTTCCAGCCCCGCTTAGGAGCACCTCTGACCACAATCTTCAGGTTTTCAGTGGTGATATGCAGAATTCGCATGGCTACCTCGCCGAGAGCGAAGCACTGATCAGGACCTACGGACTGCCCAAGCCTGTCAAATCCATCAGGATTTCCAAGCTTCACCATATATTCTCATACCTACGTATCATTCAAGAGACCACCTCACTGAGAGTCAGCAACGCTGCGAGCGAAAGCAGCAATAGCAATGAGAGGGTGGCGGACACTGAGAGCGGAACGAGCCTGGAGCTGTCGAACAACATAGCACAGTCGGCAAGCTCGAGAGTGGCTTGGATAGAGGAGGAGGAGGAAGCCGAAGATCTAAAAGAAGACCCGCTCTTCGTTTCAATCTATCAGTTGCCGTCAACCCTCATGTCCCTCCTGTCCCAGACATCCTCGCTCTCGAAACAGTTGGAGTCTGCGGATTGCTCAACGCCGGAGTTCGCTAGGAGATGCCAAATTATCGAAGATCGCATCTTCAAGTGGAAAGCACCGGACGATTTGAGCCTCACGGGTCACTTCGGACCAGACCTCTCTGAGTCTCCCAATGCTGCCGCGAAGGAGATAGTGGCGCATCTGGTGAACGCCACATATCTGGCACTCGTTGTGCATTTCCAGCGCCAGATCCGCAACACAAACCCTCGTGTTCTACAGCATTACGTTACAAGCGCGGCCGACCACCTTCTAGCGCACGAGCAGCTCAAGCCGAGCCTAAACATGTCGTTCGCGCCCTTTCCGTGGCCCGGGTTCATTGTGGGATGCGAGGCTTACGAAGGCCCCGCGCGTCAGAAGATCGATCTTTATTTCAAGAGTCTGCGGTCTTACAATGTTGGCAGTGTGGACGCAGCGGGGAGGGTCGTTCGCGAAGTATGGAAGCGACAGGACTCTGGGCGGCATGACCATCGGTGGGAGGATGTGTTGAAGGACTGGGGGCTTCAGATCGTTTTGACATGAGCATCCGGGACTTTTTCGCCAAAGAATGCCTCTACTCTACGGTGAGAATCACTTGAGATCCTGGTTGTTCATGTGTTCATGTGGAGACGAATTAATGGCATCAGAGACGGAGAGTTCTCGGTAGAGCCCAACGGGCAACCGATTCCAGGATCTCATACACCTGACACGCCCAGTATAACCAAGAATTCCCTGTGACGCAGGAATGTGCTTTTTCCCCCTCTCCTACATGCTCACCCGACCGTATATAATCCCGAGCCATCCGCAGTCGCGCTAAACAACCTAAACAAACACACCCATCTCCAATATATCAAACGGTGCTTGCTGCCATAGTCGTTGGGACGAGTACCCAAATCGAAGAAGAGAAGGACTTTTTCCTCTTATCAATCTACTGCCAAGAACTATTTGGGCGCATGTCTGTCGTCTCAGCCAGGAGGTTTGCGCTGTTCTATACCGATAGAGAGGCTGTGCGACAAATCAGCTGAAAAGGCCGGCTGATGTTCCTAGGATCTGGAGCCTAGGGAGAAGGGGCCTCAGAGATTCAGATATCGAATCTTTGTCATGCACGAGACGGCGAGTTTGGGACTTCTGGAGATGTCTATTTCCAGTCGGTATCCAAGCCATTACGGGTGAGATGTGGAGGAATCAAAGGCGGGTTGAAGATGGATGTGGTAAGGGACTTGCGCTGAACCGATCGATTCATACATTTCTATATGTATTTTGAAGTTAAATGGCCCAGTCAAATACAATTCTGTATCCTAATCAATGTCGATATCGATACGAAATAATGGAAGAGCATACATACCGTTTCAATACGAGGAGACACCGCTGTTCTCGATCCATTTTACCTGAATCATCGGTAATAAGGTACATATTAAAGCTGCGATATAATAGAATCAGAGATCATATATAGGTATATAATGGATACCTGTTTATGAGTGAATGGTGGAGCTAAGCGAATCGACTCGATCCCCTCCAATATTAGGTGGAACCGCGTGTAGTCCACAACTCTCAAGCCATCAAACCTCCACAACAAAGATTCTGCGAACCCACCCACCGTCCCTTGTTCTTTAGCTCGTCTGTTAGTCTATTAGTTAGCTTGTTGCCCTCGACTCTCGGGTCAAGGTGCGCAGCTCACGGCGAAGCATGGTCTTGTTGATTTCCAACTGGTTCTCTCCTCCGAGCTGACCTATGCAAAGCGAATAGGTAGGTTATCTTGGACCAGCAAGAAGAAAACGCCTGGCAAGCTAAGCCCATAGCGTCCCTACCAATAGAGAGAGCCGTTCGCTACACTGGGTTCCCCTTCGTTTTGTGGTATTTGTAACGGGAGGAACGATAAATTTGCATGCAGGTCTCACTCATTGCATGGTTAGATTCGCTTCATGAAGATTAAAATCGTTATGCTGGTTGTCCTTGTTGTTTATTTCAATCTAGCATTGTAGGTACCTTCGGTGCTAGGAAAGCAGCTAGCTAAACTACCGATTCTATCGATTCAGACTAGGAGTAGTATTAGTAGTAGTAGTAGCAGTTATTAATGTCGTGGCGGGTGGCAGAACGTCGCCCTAGGGACCTCTTATAAGGCACGGCGACGTGCTAAAGTAAAAGAATCATATACAAAGTACTATCTAATCGAGAGTAAAAACCACGTCAAGAAATATATATATATATATATTAGATAGCCTTAAGTCTTTGATCTCGCGGTATCGCATAATCTTTGTAAGCCCTTAAAAAGCATTCCAAGTTGGTCTAGCGCAGCTGCTATCGATTGTACCTTCCCCTTGTAAATAAGATGGATCGCAGGAAATATAAAATCTTCTATCGAAAGCCAGAACCGGGAAAGCAGGTTATCGCGTAGAAAATGCATATCGGTGTCGATAATGACATCGAGATGATTCGAAGCCGGACCGGAGTCAGCTAAGTGGTTTCCGAAGGCGCAATATCGTAGATCGTCTTGAGCCCTTTCTTACTTATCTCATCCCGTTTCCCTTTTATCGTAAATCTTTTTGGCCTTTTCAATCGGTATGCTTATCAGGTATAGATCGTAGTCGGCGTAGTAGTCGCAGTAGGAAGCTCGTTCGGAATCGCCGGTATGGGAAAATCTCTTCGGAAAGGCCACCGTGATTCAATTTCGGCTTTCCAGACTCTCCTTGCCGCAGGAAAGAGAGCTGAAGGTTCGTATAGGGCGCCTCGTACAGGTAAAGAATCGTAGCCTCCCTGCCGATTCAGACTACTGACTTGGACGGATTATCTATCTAGGTAGTTACTTTTAACTGCTAATGCAGAGACTTTCATTTCGCACTATAAACTCTTTATATTTAATAGCTTAAAACTTTTATAATCAGTAATTTATAACTATCAGACGATTCTAATTGATATTCATTATTTTAAAGAGTCAATTAAGCTGAAATATAGAAAGTTGGCTTTCGTTAACTTTAAAAGTCTTCAAAAAGGAGCGACTTCAGCTTTATCTTTTGTATCTAGGTCTATCAAATAAGCAGATTTTAGCTTGACGAATACAATTGACTACATCCCCGAAGATAGAATTAATAAAGATTGGCTAATGCTGTTTTTTTTTGAAGTGTTGACCCTTAGTTTTGGTGCGAAAGTGGTTTTCTGCATTAGCAGTTACCTACCTATACATAGTACTGTAAGCCCGGCTGCGCAAGTTGTTTTCGTACTTCTTTCTTCACTTTACCTACGTTACTCTACGATTTACAACACAACTACTACAACCGTAGCTGTGCGCCGCGCCATTGCTGCCTGCTTCCTTCATTCTCAGCGTCATCCATCCACCTATCCAGCCGTTAACAAAACCAAACGAATCCTTAACTCAAGCCTCGATACCTAAGCGCTTAAAAGGGTAAATAGAAAACAGCAGGATGATTCACAATTCATGCGAGCACCAAACTATTATTTAAATAGATCCGACTAGTTCCTATTCCCACCAAAGGCGGTTGTTGTTACTTTTGTATTTATTAACGTCGGGCGGGTGGCAAGCTTTGCCTGCCGCCCTTGGACCTCCCATGGGGTACGGCGACGTGCTAAATAGAAGAATTACTACTGTGTGTAATCACCTTTCAAAGCATTTCAAGTTAGTATAGCGCAGCTGCTGTCGATTATGCTCTTCTTTTACGGATGAGCCAAGATTGTAAAAAATATATATTTTCGTCGAAAGAAAAACTTCAGAAGCGAATTATAGCGTAAATAACGTATATCGGTATCGATTATCGAGACAATTCGAGGCTGGACCGGAATTAGCTAAATGGCCTTTTCGAAGGCGTAATACCGTAAATCGTTTTAAACCTTTCTTCATTTCTCTTACTTTATTCCTTTTTTATTGAAAATCCTTTTAGTATTTTCAATCGGTATGCCCGACAAATATACTACGTAAATCGTAGCCGGCCTGGTAGTCGAGGTAAAAAGAGGCTCGTTCGGATCGCCGATAAAAAGATATCTTTTTCGAAAGGCTACTTAAACCCAATTTCGGCTTTCCAGACTCTTTTCGCCACAAGAAAAAGAGCTAAAGGTTCGTAAGGGACACCTCGTACAGGTAAAGAATAGTAGTCCCCCTTGACAAAGGCGGTGAGGAGACGGGCCTGCTGATGCTTTTCATACCCTGAGCTCAGATCACGGGAACAGAGTAGACCCTTCAAGTCTTAAACGCAAAAGCCAATTCAGAATCGTTGCTTGTCTTCAAGGCAGGTAAAGCATCATTTGGACTATCTACAGAGGTACAGCCGTGAAGTGTTGTAACCCTTGCTATTCTATAGCCATTATTCTAATCTACTACTACTACTAATTGAGCAATAACCCGACTTTAACACAAAGTTAAGTACCACGGTACAGGCATGATTGTTACACCCTTAAGGGTGCCTCAAAAGTTTAGTTTCTACTTTAGAGCCCCTGGTTACCCTACCCTCTAGGGTGTAACAATTACGCCTGCGACTATTACTTCGTAAGGCTTTTCGAGATTCTATAAGGTTTCGTGCTTAAGATTGCTTAATTAAGTTAAACGCAGTACTTAGTAGCTGTAGAGTATCAAGGGTTCCAACACTTCACCGCGGTATCTCCGTATAGACCGTCTTTTTTCAAGATGATCTTTGACTTTCGATACGATCAATAGACGACTCGCCATCAGGACTTGAAATAAGATTGTATTTGATAAGTAATGGTTTAAATGATTTAAATAGTAACTGAAATGGAATTGCTTTAATCGATTAGATCGTCTTTTATCAGATATGTCTTTTGGTAACAAAACCGTCTTAAGACCGTCTTGGAATCGTCTTGGAGCCGTCTTGGAACCGTCTTGGAACCGTCTTGGAACCGTCTTAGAACAATCATAAGACCGTTTTAAGACCATCCTAAGATCGTATAAGCATTGACCGCCAATTATCCCCCGGTCCTTTGCATCTCCCCCTTGGGCTCCTTCCTCTCTATTCAAAGGTACAGCAGTGAAGTGTTATAATCCTTGTTACTCTACGTATAGCTACTAGTACCTACAGTATTATTTCAACTCTATTAAGCAATAACCTAACCTTAAGCACGGAACCTTCTACTGTAGAATCTCGAAATTCCGTACGGAGTAATAGTAGTACTTTACTTTGTATTAAGGTCAGGTTACTGCTTAATTAGGTTAGAATAGTGGCTGTGGAGTAGCAAGGGTTATAATACTTCACTGCTGTACCTCTGTATACTCCGCAAGTATACGGGAGTGTAGGTGACATAGGTATATTGTATTCCGCTGAATCAATCGATTTTAATATTTAATCAACGAAAGCGTTAACGTTCGAAAGGTGGTACAGATACCGAGGAAATATGTCAGCAAAAATCTCGGCCCAATAAGCAATAATTTCGAACGAGTTCGTATCTGAAATGATCGAGAAATAAAAAGGATCAATAAATCAGGTTCGAATCTCAAAACGAGCTCCTAAGGAAACCTATTCTAATTAACTAGAGCCCGATCTAAATAGTTGGACGAGGACGGCTGCAAGACGGTCTCTTGCTCAGGGACGATCCTGCGAATAAATCTTTGATTTAGAACTCGTGCTGATTTTTAAACTCCAGAACGCCCACCTGATCCTAGACTCCGAACCAAATAAAACGAACCGAAGCACAGCAGAGCAGAGCAAATACTACGTAAAAACAGAACGGATTAAAGCAGAGCAGAGCAAAACAAAAACAAAAACTAAATAAAAAGCGAGCCGAACAAGGCAGGTTATGCTCCGATACACGGAACATATAAAAAAAGGTACAAAAGTATATTTATCCAACCGCCCGGCGCTCCGCGGCCCCGGCGATTGACATATACTGTATATATATATATATATATATATACATACCTATATATATATACATATGTACCACTATATTTATTTATTTTAAAAATAAAATTATAGCGGCTAAACCAATCCACTTTTTTTTCCCCGTTTCTCCGTTTCACCGTTCTTCGCTCTCGCTCTCGCTCTTCTCATTTTCCCCCTTGGTCACCGCTCATTACGGAGGTGCCGGGGGTAGATTATGGCAGACCGCCGTCGACAGAATCACCGGCAGCAAAAAAAAAAAAAAAAAAATCAAGAGTTGCTCTCCCATCATTAAATTTAGTGTTATAATACACCTAATATTTAGTGAACTTCCCTTTTAAACTCGTCGATACATACGTAGTAGATCAGCAATATTCATCGTTGTTAATTCCTAATTTGGCGTATGCCGTATATAAATTCTCGACGCGATTGATTGATGCTGTGGGAACTTTTTGTCGGTGAAGGCGGTCTGCCATAATCTACCCCCAGCACCTCCGTACCATTCGCTCGCTCGCTTCCTCGCATACACCCACTCACCCACTTACGTAGTACTACCGGTACGTAGTAGTAGTTATCCAGGTCCCCAGGATAATCCCTCGGTTAAACAGGCCGATGATTTGCATGCCTCGAACAAAGTGGAATTGTTCTAATTTTTTTTTGGGCATGCCTCACCGCACCAAAACCTATCTCAACCCATCCGCTGGCTCTACGGAGTATGCTGCCCACATTAGGATTCTGAGCCATCGGGGCCCGAGGCCCAGTCCGTATCCTCGAAGGCCCTCTAAGTAAGTAAGAGAAACCGTTATCATCGATCGAGCACAGCGATGACGCATTTTATACTCTTGGAAGGCCTTTTAGAATCGAAAGCCTTTGATGGCTCGGTGCTTAATTAAGCTATTTCACGCGCGATAAAAAGCTTTGTATCAATGTCGGACCCAGTTTACTAGCTTCATACGTGGTAAATCGTAGAGCGATGATTTCTGAATGGCTTGAAGCCTTATCAACTCTATTGCACAGACTACACACTGGCTCCAAGATGCTTTTCAGGGCTGAATGAATCTTTATTCGTACAGAGGTACTACTACGTACTACGTAGGTACAGTAAGCTGATCGGTTTATCCCTTGCAAAATTATACTTTCGATATGTACTCATGGGTGGGATGGAGAGAGAGAAAGCGAAAAGACTTACTACGTACTACGTAGATACGATACATGTGCTTCTTCAAAGATACGTAGTACGTGCAAGCAGCGCGCTCGAAGCAATTACAACGCCAGCCACTCTACTCAAAACCAGACAAGCCATATATCATCGAGATGACAAAGAGACGCATACCTGCTTCAATCTCATCCAGTATAGGTACATGACCGTTCTTCAGTTACAGACCGTTCGCTCCTTAGTTACGCGGACGTGCAATACCTTTTCGAGTTAATCCCCGCTCCGGGCTGATCACCACATTACACTCCGTGCTTATAAACGTCGAGAACTTCGAGACCTTCTTTTTCAATATAAGCGGCATCACTAGAAATCTTCTTATATGAAGCGGTGGGTAGGTTTAAGTACAGTTGTACTTACAGTACAGTAGGTACAGGTCAGACGAGGCATGCAAGAAACAACTCCACTTTCTTCGCTGCATGGGGGATAATCGGCCCTTTTAAACATTCTGTGGAGATACCCCAAGTCCAGACCAGAGGTCCAAGCAGGCAAAAGTCCCTCATCAAGCACTTGGAGTGGAAAATGCACTTTTTGAGGTTACCAATGTCTCCATCATGCATGTCGATTTTTCCTTTCCTCTGAATGGTTTCATGTCCATATTTGCTACGATTCACGAGTTTTTATTTTCTTCACAGTTGCGACATGTGATAGACAGGTAACCACTTTGGAAAACGCAATGCTTTTTTTCTAATCGAAGTATTATCCGAAATAAATGTCAGCGTGGCCATGGTGGCACGAGTCAAAACATAAGAACTAAAGATCTATCTATATCGCCCATGGGACTCTGCCCTCATAGTATTTCAAGGAAGGGGATAGTAATTACAACGTATTTTATTTGCACTTTGGCAGTCGCTGTACCCACCCCGCTCATGTATTCAACGCCGTGCTCCGCCGATATCCGGATAACTCCCAAATTCATGGCCATCGCATCTCATCTACACAGGACCGCCACACCGAACGCATAGACACAAAGTCTCAAACGTATGATCAAAGTTCTTCACCAACCCCGCCGCCTTCCGCCGCCTCAACTCCTCCTGGACGTACAGCGCTGCCGGCCCAACCTGATGGAACAGGTGATAGTAGCTCACGAAATATATGCTCTCGCCGTGATCCGTAATGTTCTTCGCTTTCGCCATGCATGATTCCAGCGAGGCCACCGTGCTGTTCGCGTACATGACGGCCGCAACCCAGTCCCGGCAGTCCTGCACAGTCCAGTTGTTTTGCGGCGTGTCTTCCCATGTGATGGGCGTGAGTAGCCGGCCCTTCCGGCGTAGAGGAGCGGGCGGCGGAGGCTCGCGGACTTCGCATTCTGAGGTGCCGCCGCAGAAGGAAAACTGGGAGCTGTGTACGGATGGGCTGCGCTCGCGGATGTGGCTTCTGTCCAGGTCCATGGATCGCGATCTTCCCGAGACCATGGCGCGGCGGTGACGGAATGCAGAGATCTTCTTTGCGAGTCCTTTGAAGGATGGTGATTTGTTGTTTGGTTCATCGGTCGAGGGTCTGGGCGAGGGATCTGAAGGATTCGCGGAAGGCATGGCGTCTTGTGGCTCAAGAGTGGAGAGTGGAGAGTGGAGTGGAGGAGTGTTGTGTGTAGAAGTTGCGCAGAGAATTGAATTGTGTTGAACTGAGTTGAGCATCTGGTAGATAGATAAGAGGATGGAGATGAAGATGGATTTGTGAAATGCAGAGAGAGCCTCGACAGGGTGCTCTGCTGGGGCGGTCTGAGGTTGGGGAGTTGCTATCACCGATGTGTTGGGGAAAAATGGAGTGCAGACGCTGAGCACTAAATAATAGGTGATGCTCGGCGCGTCATCGGAGTGGAGATGGTAGTCGCGTAGGTAGTCGTGGTGGTGGTGGTGGTGGTGGTGGTGGTGGATAGACAAGAGTCCAGCTCAGAGGCTGAAGGCTTCGGTAGGCTGAATAATAAAAAGGGAAAAGGTTAAAATAGTTACTTAAAGGCGTCCTTGTAACCGATAGGTCTCCCCTTCCTCTCGTCCCCTCCACAGGCGAGAAGTGAATATGTAATCAAGCAATGCGAAGCCGGACCGCCATCCGAATATAGGATAGGATAGGCTGGCGAGCTGTGCTATGCTGTGCTGTACTATACTCCGTACGGATGAGATGCCTTTCGCGCTTGGCCCGCCAAGTCAGTAAATAAAAACAAAGGAAGCGCTCATGCTCGGGTTCACCCCATGACATTCCGCAGTCCGTACCTCGCAAACTCAAACTCTACTATCCGACGGGAGAGTTGAATGGACAGTACTAATTATGACCATGACCATGACCATGCACTGCATCGCGACGCTTCGCTCCGTATAGCGGTTCAAGAAGGCTGGCTGCGAAATGCGAGACCGAAGATATCTCCTGATACGATAAACATTTCTTGGTTTCCAAGAAAATTTCAAAGGAAAGAGAGGAAGAAAAGAAATACTCGCAGGACAGATGAAACAAGGGCAGGATATGAGAGAGTTCGATCGAAGGACGAGTCCACCGCCTCTTGAGTGTAAGGACCGGCGAATGAGCGCCTAAATGTCGAGGCCTAATTCTCGAGTTCGAATCGATGGTCCTTTGAGCAGATACGGAACATCCCTCGTTCTCTCTCAAGGCGAGCGTGCGAAGTGTTCCAGGCGGAGAGCGGCCATTCCCACGACGATCATGCACGATGATCATGAATGATCATCATGGAAGATGATCATGGAAGATGAACACCCCCAGCCAGCCTTCTCCAATAATCTATTCATTGGCCGGACCATTCTCTTCTCAGATGTAGGTATATCTTGGGTCCTCCACCCATCCCGCCCGCTGCCACGTTTGCGCAGTTTCACCCTCGCCATCGCCCCTGCGCGCAAACGATTAACATGTTGCTTTCGCAATCGACTCGTTCGCAGCAGGGATCAAAGGCTCGTGGCGGCTTCGACACCCAGTCTTTTGTGCCTTCGTCATCCTTTCGCCAGCACTTGCCGACCTCTCTCTACGTACAGTCCTGTACGCAAGCCAGCAGCATTTTCTGCTTAACGAAACCACGTCTGATATACACACGGCTCAGCCACATAGCCCCCGTGTCTGCCCAAGGAATTTCAAAGCTGTATTCCTCTGTCCTCGCCTCCAGACGGAAAGAGGCACCGATCGGCCCCTTGCATAGTGTGCAATATCGGTATCGTATTGATGTGCTGGCAAGGTTGGCAGCATCACAGCTTGGCTTCAGGCGAAAATTTATCGCGACAATTTTGGCCTTTTCGATGTCGGGACTTGATGTAGATTCCGGAGGTTTTTGAGGCACCTAATGTTGTGAGAAGTCTGTGAGGAAGGACGATGTGAATAATAAAAAGAGGTAAAAAGTGAAAAGACTTCTTTGCTATCTGGAGAGGCTGGGACGCCAGGAGCTGAAAGGTCGGCTGTTGCACCCATTACTGGCTCGATCGTAGTGCACGAATTCTCTTCTGTTTCGATTAATGAGATCATACTCATAGAACAGAGGGTGGGTAAAACTGTTTGTGTGGTTCTGCTTGTATGGTAGGTGCTGGGATGTTTCCTTTGTTTGGGAGAATTTCTCTGGGAAAATTCTCTTTGGGAAAAGGAAAAGAGCTCTGGAGCATGGAGCTAGAGAGCTTGAGGCCCGCGTTACGTAAGCCGCCCCTCCTCGAAACCACAACACCAAACCCGATCCTGAAATTTACTCACAATGTCTATCCAGACGACCTCCTACTAAACTCACTGCTCTTTATGACATAGAGCCATCGCCCCGGCTGTCTGCTGCAGAAGAAGCCCAAGAGGAGTCGTGGAGATATGGACATGTAAAACCTCGCATCTCCTCTTATATACGCCACCATGATACCTATCCTTCTATATATATCTTCTTTAAGATTGTTTACGGAGTAAAATGGCTCTTGGCTTTACTGGCATTCTGGCTCTGTACGAGTAGCGCTGAAAAAAAAAGCAAGCGGCTGACCATGGGCGTGTATATTTCGGATAGACCGATAGGCCACAAGCAACACCAAGCATCCTTCAAGAAGAAAGCCGAGTTTGGATCTGCAGCTATGAGCTGCTTTGTTCAGCGCTTCGACAGTTGCTTCCTTTCTACGGGGTAGGCTTGAGATTAAGTGGATTTCTATTTGTTTTCCGAGCTGCCAATATTATTATTATTATTATTCTTTGTTCGCATGGTCATATGTTGGATGTTTTCCATCCAATATGTTGTTATCTTGTGGAGGTCAAGATAAAAAACATTCTGTTGATTATCATCCCAACGCAGATGCAATTTTATATCGATATGGCTTCGTTTCATTTTCAATTTCATTTCGTTTCCCGATCGTATGGCGTCGGCCTCGCCATGTTGGCAAATCTTGGAGAAGTCAAATCCGACCGAGGATGAGCTTATCTTCAACTTCCTAATTCTTATATCAGAGTTGGAAAAGCTCTCCATTAGCCTGACCCTGAATCCTGTCGGGACCCTGTGCTTAAATAGTGCTCGAAAGGACCCTTCCTGTGTGGTAATGTGCACCTCATTGGACTTTTTCGCCGTTCGGATATGGCAATCGCACAGGAGAAGTCCCTCGGGAAAGGAGACATCACCTCGGTTCAGTACAACCTGAGCGACAAGGACGATATAGGCAGCACGAATGACATCGATCGACTCCATCGATCCCTCAATAATCGCCAGGTCCAATGGATAGCTATCGGCGGCTCCATTGGGACCGCCCTTTTCGTCAGCATCGCTTGGGGACTTACTGCCGGTGGCCCTGGATCACTCCTCCTCGCCTTCATTTTCTACAGCTGCGTTGTTGGCTGCATTAACAGTGGTATCGCCGAGATGACTGTCTATATGCCAGTCTCTGGGTCCTTTATTCGCTATGCTGGAAAGTGGGTTGATGATGCCTTTGGCTTTATGGCTGGGTGGAACTTCTTCCTCTACGAAGCCATCTTGATCCCGTTTGAGATATCGTCACTGTGTCTTGTTTTGAAGTTCTGGAGAGACGATATCCCGATATGGGCCGTCTGTCTCGGTTGCATTGTTATTTACGGGCTCATTAACGTCTTTGCTGTCAAACTGTACGGTGATGCTGAGTTTTGGCTCTCTTCTGGGAAGATCATCTTACTCTTGATCATGTTCTGCTTCACTTTCGTGACTATGGTTGGTCTTAACCCAAAGCACGATGCCTACGGTTTCCGTTATTGTAAGTCGAATTTAATGAGGGCCTGTTATTCTTGAATCATTCTTGGCTCAGTCTCCTAGATTTAGAGAAGCGGTTGCTAACATGATCAGGGAAAAACCCCGGTGCCTTTGCAGAAAGCATGACAACAGGCTCATTGGGACGACTTCATGGCTTTCTAGGGTCTCTCAACGCAGCCGCCGTAACTATTTGTGGCCCGGAATATATTGCCATGGTCTCTGGAGAGGCGATCTACCCAAGAGTCACCATCAAGCAGGCTTTCAAGACAGTGTAATTCCTCCTGTACTACACACATTTCCGTAGCTAACACAAACAAACAGCTATTGGCGTTTCGGATGCTTCTTCGTATTGGGGGCGCTCTGCGTCGGAGTTGTCGTTCCATACAACGACTCCAAGCTTCTCAACATCCTCAATACCGAGGGGACGTCATCCGGCGCATCTTCGCCGTACATCATTGCAATGGCCAACCTGGGTGTCGACGGGCTTCCTCATTTAGTGAACGCACTGCTCGCCACGAGTGTCTTCTCCGCAGGAAATACATAGTACGTTTGCCAAACCGTCATTTCCCGTCTTGGTAAATGTTTCTCGGGACTGCTATTCAGCCATGTATAAATCAGCAACTGCTGATCCCTTTACTCCTAGCATCTACATGGCTACCCGCTCCCTCTATAGTCTATCCATCCAAGGTCAAGCGCCAAAATTCCTCCGCGCCACCACCAAGTCCGGCGTGCCGTGGTCCTGCTTCTGCGTCACCATGATCTTCCCCTTCCTGAGCTTTTTGCAAGTCAGCAGCAGTTCCGCCCAAGCTATCCGCTGGCTCACCAACCTGGTCACCGCGTCCCAAGTCCTCAACTACGTTATCATCGGCATAACATACATGTGTTTCTACCGAGCTCTCAAAGCCCAAGGGGTCGACCGGCGAACGCTGCCATACCGAGGTAACACGTTTTTCCACTTCCTCCCCCCGCTCCGCAAATCCCCTTCTCACAATCCTGCTAAAAACGTTTACGTACAGGATGGTGCCAACCCTACGTCAACATCTTCGGCACGTCCTTCGCCTTCGCCGTCTTGTTCCTGCAGAGCTACTCCGTCTTCCTGCCCGGCCACTGGAGCCTCGGAACCTTCTTCACCTACTACACCATGATCTTCACCTGCATCGTCCTCTTCGCGGGCTGGAAGCTGGCCAAGAAGACGAGGTTCATGCGCCCTGAGGAGGCCGATCTGGTGTGGGACAAGCCGCTCATTGACGCGTACGAAGCCGGCATCGATCCGCCGAAGGGGCTCTGGGAGGACATCTGGACGGGAACCCGGACGCTGTTCGGAATGAAGCATGCTCAAAAGGGGGATGCAGTCTAGAAATTTCAACTCTAGAAATTACAACTCTAGAAATTACAACTCTAGAAATTACAACTCTAGAAATTACAACTCTAGAAACTACAACTATTACAGCTCCTTTGCGAGCAAGCAACAGAAAAAGAAAGCTGCTGGACGAGCTCTAGGAAAGGGAAGAAAGCCACCGTAGGCTGTCGCAGCTACTTTCAAGAAAAAGAGGTGTACGAAGGAAAATTCTGCTCGGGAAGGCGAATGAATATCTATCTATCATTTGAATTTTGACGCTACCTTCCAAAGCCCATGCTTAATCAGTACAAGCCTTCTCTCGACCCCGGCAAAAGCAAGCCTCTGAAAAAACGCGACGTGTAATAACCAAGGAATCCTCAAAACAAGGAATATTATAAAAAAAAAACCCCGTTTTTCGACGGGCGTGAATTGATTTTTGAGATTGTTGGTAGATATGACGAGCGACCTGAGGCGCTTCCTCGCAGACCTTGCGCTATTACATAGGGTAAGAGGAGACCGACCTTATAGTTGATGGCTTCAGATCAATCAATGGTTATCAGGAGGAGGAGTTAGCAAGAACTTGAAAAGCTGTGTGGAGAAATAAGTAGCGAGCTTTTGGAAGCGTGGAGGTCTGATGGTTTGTGATGCGCGAGTTGAAAAGAATATATATATATATAAAAGGAGAGAAAAAAGGCAAGCGTCAAAACATGAAGGAGATTGTAGGAGCGGAAGAAAAAGAACCTGGCGTGTTGTCACAATCATGTTACCTTAAAGGTGTTTTTTTAACCTTTTTTTTTTACCAAACCAAACCGTGAAAAAGAAAGCGAAAGCCATAATCAGATTGCTCGTATACTCCGTATCGATATCCCCTATTTAGCATCTTCTCCGCAAGAACGAAATCGATTAAAACCAGTTCGTTTACAAATCGATCTCTGCAATATGAAAACCTTATTATTCTAGGATCGATTGTAAGATTGACTATTGATCAGTATCGGTATCACGAGTATACGATAAGAAATATGGAAAAAAAAATATATACATAAATATATATATATATAAGGGTATGATATGTATTCGTAAAGCCTGTCAAAGGAAAATCATTCTCGCCAAGGGAAGGGCTTCTTATATGCTAGTGCCAAGGCCGGCGTACCTCGCGTAGCCACGCGTGACCTTCGACACCTACGCCCTACATCTTTCATGTTCATATCGACATTCCCACATCCAGAATGTACGCATCGCTCTCCTCTCGGATCCCCACAAGACGTGTTCACAGGCGCGTCCCGCTCCTCCATCACGACCTCGAGCTTCTCCTTTTCGGCTTCTAGATCTTGAACGCCGACGACTTCCTTGGGAGAAGCCGGGGTGTCGTTGACTTTCAAGTGAAAGTGGGCCGGACAGATTGGCCGTCATCAGCTGTGCTTCGGTGTGGTCGTCTTCAACTTTTTTTGAGCAGCGGCCGATACGATCTCAGCCATCTGCTTTCTTGCTGGCTTCAGCATTACATTAGACTCGCTGTCCTGACGCGCGTGGATGTAGTCGTGGAGGTCTTTCTGGACATCCCGCATCTCGTACCTGTCGGGGTATCTATTATTGAGGATAAACTACGTGTCGATGATCAAGTGGAGTCATGAGGTCAGCCTGAATGACTCTTAGTGACCGGAAGGACTTTTGCAACGTCGCAAAAGATGCTCGTGAAGTCACTTCTTCAGATCATGAGTCTCTCCAGCCTTGCCCATCTCTGGAATGCTAGCGTGCACGATCGTGTTTCTGATAGCGCAGTTGGAGATGATCTGTAGAGTATCTCTCCAAGTCCGAAGCCGGTGGATGTGCAGACTGAGCCTACGGTGACATGGAGAGGGCATTGACTCGCATCGGCTTTTCCAGCGTTTGAATCGTTGCCAGATTGGACCCTCATTCCCAAAAGCTTTTGTGAGATCTCGGTCCAGTATGCCCTGGTGAGAGCTTCCCAGCCATAGATCTTCTTAGCTTCTGCCTCGCACCGGATCTTGTTGCAAAACTCCTGCGAAAGCGTCGCTACAGCGAGCGTAGAACGCAGTACGTTTGAAGATCCAGGATAGTTGAAATCATGAGATTGGCATCGTCCGTCCTAAGCAGGCTCAAACATGCCTTCATCTTGACGCTTTGTTCGAACATGCGGATGGATGCGATTGCAGTGGCTCGAACCTCTCGAGCATCACTTTACTCTGCCAAATCAAACCACTTCCAAACCCTCCAACAATTACCCCCGAAATTCTAAATTTCTCAATTTTTTTTTGACTATAAATCGCAATCTCATAAAACGAACCTCCAAAACGTACCAAGACAAAAGAGTGCCGATAATCTTTCACAAATCAATCAGATCAGATCAGATCAGATCAGATCAATCGCATCCTCGTGCTCGTGCTCGTGCTGGACAGGTAGAGTGACCCGTTCGTCGTCTCTCTCTTGACCGGTCGGGAGATTTTGTTTGGATTGAGTGCTGCCATCATCCTCCATCGTCGGGTTTTCCCCGCTCGCGCTTGATTGCCCAATCGCAATAAACCTATTGATTTGTTGGAGGTTTCCTCGAATTACCTGCCTAACGAGTTAGTCAGTTATGCTCTCTGATTATATACCTGGACGATTTAAAAGTAAAGGAACTATTTGCTTTTCGGGTGGGAAGGTTTAATATCATAGATACACTTTGCATCACCTCGTCGTCGAAAAGAGTTTAAAAGAGTGCCGGCCATAGACGTAGAATGATCATTAATTAATATATCTTCAAGTCAGGAGAGCATTAAAAGTCGAGAGGGGTATTTAAGTAGCTAACAAGGGTGGCGGTGGTGTTAGGAACATTAGACATTTAAGCGAACAATAGATGAGCTCTAGCTAGTATACAGTTGGCGAGCCAACTTTATTTTCTAATCACGACGACGCAGCAGCATTGCTCGCAGCCTTGGCAAAATCAAAATAGTAGAGATTCAGCCTGCTGCCGGCGCCGCAGAACTCGCTCGAGTTGCCGGGGCACTTCATGGAGCACTGGGTGTCGCTGACGTTGGCGGCGGGCGTGGCGCCCGCGTTGCCGGCGAAGTTGAGGGCGTTACCGCACCAGCACTCCCGGCCGTACTCGACGCCGGCGTACTTGTACTGGGCGCACACGGAGAGGCAGGTGGCGATGGTCATGGAGGTGCCGTTGTTGTAGAGCTGTAAGGGCAGCAGGCGGCCAGCGGAGGGCTCCGAGACGCAGGAGTAGTAGGTGAAGTTGGCGTTTCCTTGCGAAGTGACGGGGGGGCCGGTGTAGGTGGCTGGTTTGGAGGTAGTGGCTGTCGTGGAGGTTGAGAGGGTGGGGGAGGAGGAGGTGGTTGTGGGTGCACTGGACGGTGCTTGACTGGAGCTACTTGATACGGGCCGCGATGAAGTTGATGCCGGGGTAGAGCTTGATACTGGCGCTGGAGTGAATGTTGGCGCGACGCTAGAGGAGCTCGACGTGTTGATGACGACTGAAGATATCGACGAGCTGATCGCTGAGGAACTCGATAAGCTGCTGATGACCGAAGATACCGATGAGCTGATGACCGAGGACTCCGAAGATGTGCTGACAGAGCTGGCTGTGCTAGAAATCGAAGACAATGTTGGAGCAACAGAGCTACTCGAGGAAGAAGCGCCCAGTGCGTAGAGTTGAAGTCTGACACCTGCACCACAAAAGGTCGTCTTATCCCCTGGGCACAAGAACGAACAATCTGCTTGGTTAGTAGCCCTGACACTACCAGCTCCCAAGGTGTTACCACAATAGCCTGTGAACTATTAGCCTCGTCTAGGAAACATCGGACACGGGACTTACACTCTCGTCCATACTCCACGCCAAACATCAAGTAGGGAGTGCAGAAGGCTGCGCAGGATTCCAGAGTCATCGAGTCATTAGCATACGTCTTAGCTGACAAAGCTCGGCCGGTGGTCGACTCGGTCCAGCATCCTTGGGATGTGTATTGGCCAACGACCTGTCTTATTTGAGGACCAGTTGGACTGGGAGTGGCACTTGGGCTCGAAGATATGCTAGAAATTCCAACCGAAGATGATCCTGTGATACTCGCAGAACTTGAGAATGGGCCGCTAGACGATCCAGTAATGCTAGCGGAAGAAGTTCCAGATGATATCGACACCGAGACTGAACTCGAAACGCTTCCAGTCAAGCTGCTAGACACTCCTGAGGAAACAGAATTGCTCATAGACGAAGATACAGTGAATGGCCTGCTGGAGGAAGACGAAGAAGACGAAGCAGCGGTGTTCATCTGGTAGACATTGAGTCTGCTACCTGCGCCACAGCTAGAAGTCGAGGAGTCAGCAAATGCATAGACTTTCGGTATTTCGGCAGAATTCTCTGCTAATGAGGCACTGGAAAAGTGCTCATAGGATACTGAAAAGGCAGGCAATGGCCATCGCCCTGTTGTACTCACTACTCGGTGGCATTGTCCTTGCAGACCATGTTACAGTCCGTGATGGCGGTAGGGACGGCGCCTGCTGAGAATGCATTACCGCACCAACATTCTTGGGCGTACTCCAAACCAGCGTAGATATAATTGCTAGCTGCACAAGCAGAAACGCAGCTCGCCACGGTCCTGGTATTCATGGTCATTCCAAAGGGCAAGGCTCGTGCATCTGTAGCCTCAGTGTAGCATCCAACGCTGGTGTATCCAAGAACACCGGGATTCGTGAAAGGTCCGCCTGTAGGAGCAGGTACAGCTGTGGTCGTGGCCGTGACCGAGGAGCTTGGATTAGCTACTGCGGACCCGTTCAACGCGAACAAGGAGATGTAACTTCCGCCTGCACCTGCGCCGACCCCGTTACCTCCACAAATCTGATTAATGTCTCCTGAGCAAGCAAAGTTGCAATTTCCTTCTACCACTTGGAGATTTGGGATAGTTGGACCTGAAAGACTGAGGTCAGTAATTTGTTCGCTTAGTTATGTCACGTGAGTAGTCTCAAGTGCAAGAAAATAAAGGCAGAGAGAGTATGGCTATGGCCCGGTGAACTTACCTCCCCAGCATTCACGGGTGTATTGTGTTCCGCAGTAGGTGAAGCCGGCTGCATTACAGGCTGTAATGCACATGGCATTGGTCATGGTAGCTGAAGCACCAAGTTGTTTCTGAAGTTGACGGCCCGGGTTGCTCTCCTTGAAGCAGCCAGTATACCTGTACGTGCCCAGACCGTTGGACTGTAAGGGAGGGGCTTGCTCCGCGACAGCCGTGCATGCGAATCCAATATCGTGTTTGCCGAAGTTGGGATCATTCAAGTTCATGGTCCAATGTGCTACGCCGGAGTAAGGATCCGTGTTCCATTGCGTCTTTGGAACTGAGCAGTACAAAGTGGCGATTGCGTTCTCTCCCGGCGCGAGAGTTGTTCCCTCAGCAAGGTCGGCTTGGTTGTTTGCTCCGATGATACCGGCAACACCGAAAGGAGGCTTTGAGACTGTGAGGGAAAGTCTCGCACCATCGGTTGTAGCGTTGTTGGTGACGCGCATCCTGAGCGATCGCGTAGTATTCTCGGTAACATTGCCGAATGTGAAGTTCCTGGCCGCGTCAAAAGTGACCCATCCCAGTCCATCCGGGGTTTGGAACTCGATGAGGGCAGAGGGCGCAGAGCCAGCCGTAGCGACAACATCGAAGATCTTGGTTCCGCCGTCTGAAGTCACCCTCACGTAAGCACCAAAATTACCAGTTTTAGAGCTATCAAAGTTGACGTTGACACTGGCTCCTGAGTTCCCAGGGATAGTAGTTGGCAGGTTAGAGAAAGTGAATGGTCCTGCTTGAGGGCTGGCAGCTGTGCCATTGGGAGCGATGAAAGGACCGGCTTCCGAAACGATCGAGTATTCCATCTTCGAGATCGTCAAATCAGCATCTCCCAAGTTGGTGAAGAGCAGGGTTTGGTCCACTCCACCAACTTGGCCTCCAACAACTACACTGTCAAAAGCCAGGGTAGCGGGGCTGATCTGGAGCAAAGGGCTTGCACTTTGTCCTGTACCGCGGAGAGTTACGGGGGTGTTGGTACTGTAACCTGCCACGCCGTTTGTCGTAGCGATGCATACATCAGATGAAAGTACACCGACAGTTTTAGGGTTGAAGACGGTACTAAAGCTGAAGCTGGCCCCGGCCGCATAGTTGCCGGGAACATTGGGTAATCCACTGACGATGAAGTTGGGATCTCCAGAGAGTGTGATATTGGAAATCGTGACGGCAATATTGGCCTTGCAAGTGACGGTCTGCGAGGCGGTGGCATTGTTAAGACTCGAAGAGCCAAATTGCACAGGCGAAGTACAGTTAATCGGCAAGTTGACAGGTGACCCGAAGCCGTACACATAACCATTGGTAGTTCCTATATATGCCCTACCGTCTCCAAAAACTGGCCGGGTAAATTTGGTAACACTATCGATGTTGAACGAGTTGATCATTGTCAATAGTCCGTTCTGGGGAACGGCGTTGTAGATTCTCAAATTCGCTCCTCTGACATCGCTGATCCAGAGCAAGCCAGTACCAGCTTGTCCGTTGAGAGATGTTGTGGTTCCATGTCCAGTTCCGAGGATAGCAGCATTGTTGGTTGGGCTGTCTGCTACCTTTGCGAAAGAAGGAACACCAGCGCTGCAAGTAAACTTGAAGACGTGGGTGGGGTAATTAATGACTGTGCTGGTTAGTTTTTGCTCGAGAATGAATCAAAAGCAGCTGTGGCATGATCCCGGGGGGGGGGGTCTGGGATCCTCACCACTGATGTAGATGTATCCACCTTCAAGAGGATAGACACCTGCTCCAGCGTACACAGAGTTTTCGTTCTGATAAACCTGGATGATCTTATCCAGCTTGTTGGCACCATTTTGATATCCTCCCAGATCGTCCAGATTTAACCAGTATGTCTTTCCAGATTTTCCGGTAACAACGCCAATGCGCTTCACATCGCCGCAAGAGAACTGGCTAGGCAGAAGCTCGAGGGGGGTGGTTCCGAGATCTTTGTCTGCACCATCCAACTGTGTCTTTTCCCAGGGCATGAAGAAGTCTACAATTGTGAGACTGCCATCCGCGTTGATCGTCATGTGCACTGCAGCTTGTTCTAGCGCAGTGGGCGGGTTGCGGCCATTCACGGGAATCGTGCTGAGCTGCGAGGCATATCCGTTCCCAGAAGCGAAGAACATAGAGCCTGCATCGTCAGAGGCTATACCTCCTCCGGACATCCAGATTCCACCTCCCTTCGTTTGAGCATCGACACCCAGACCCTCCGTGGCGTAACTTTCGACAACGGCTCCGGTCGTCTTATCCCAGCCCATGATCCATCCAGTGAAATTGTACTGGACGCAGTGAGATGCGAATCCGGCATAGATGTATTGTCCGGAATGAAGGAGCGCTGGGCGCTGGTGGTGGATTCCTCCAGTGAAACTTCTGATCTGGTTGTTTCTGGCCACGGTTCCCTCGAGGTTGACCGGGAAGCCTGCTCGTTCGCTAAGATCGTCGACACTGATTGCGTGGAGATAGTATCGGCCAGCTGGTCTTCCTTGCGCTACATTGAGCGTCGTCTGATCAATATATGTCTTTGAAGTCAGGTACAGTGTATCGGTGCCCGGGTCGATCACCCCCGTCGCCGTGACACCAATATGGGGGTTGATATCAACACAACCTTCGAGGTCTGCTGTGAGGAAAGGAACACCCAAGTTCCTTGATGAAACGATAGCGCCCGTCTTCGCATTTAACTTGTACAGATTGTTCTGTGTTGTAGCCACGAAAAGATACTGGATGCCGTCGGAGGGAGTGTAGACGAGGGGCTGAGAGAATATCTGTTCTGGTACGCCACCGTAAGCACCCGGCAGCGCGGACTTGAAGAGCTGTCCGAACTGAGAAGATCCAACGACCGAGGGGTCCATAGCATGATTACTATTCTGTTAGTCCGAGTTCCTCGACTGGTGATGACCGAGCTCACGTCTGATATCCAGTCCTGGAGTTATCACCACCCCAGGTAATGGTATCGGTGGAAGCGAGTGAAGCGACATGGCTCACCATGACGGCGAGGAACAAGGGCAAAAAGAGGGTAGGAGACATGATGGCCGACATTCTTCCTGCCTGCACTGAGTCTCAAGAAGCAGTGGGAGTCGAGGTAACAAGGAGTGTGAAGGCTACAAAGAGCACGATTAGACAGTGGGGGGAGGAGGTCACTATGGCTATGTGGATGGAAGGTCAAGTGAAGGAAGAAGAGATCGGCTCTTAAGTATCGACCACGAAGTTGGAGATTGACCCACTGTGACTGAACTAATTGGAGGGCTGATGACGAGCAGCCTCTATCGTGCCTCCCGCCCGAAAAGCCTTAGGTCTGACCCGTCGCGCCTCCGGGTGAGTGATACGCGATGGAGATTGATGGAGCAAAGAAGAGCTCGCCATTGGCCCGACCGGGCTTGGATGCAAAAGTAACGGGTATCTCCAGGGCCAATTTGGTTGAAGCTTGGCACCTACCCTGCAGATGCAGATGCAGATGCAGATCCAGGGGCATGGCCATACGTATAGTAGTAGTAGCTACTGCCACGGCCACGGGAAACAAGCCTCCTTGGCTAAGCTTGTCCCGTCCCATATCCTCGATTCATCACGACCCCCGACACCTTTCTTCGTCTGATTTCCCTTCCCTCGCAGGCGCTCGCAGGCCGGTGGGAAGTAGGAAAACAGGGGCCAGAGCAAAACAAGAGCAGAACCAGATCCCATCGGAATCATCAGATCTGGTGATACGCCCCGATTCATGACCGGCGCCGCACTTGCTCCGCCTGCCCCCTTATATTCTTTCTGTGCGCTGTAGCCCTATCACCCATGGCCCTTCGGCCTTGGGACTGGACGACAGCGCCGCGCCGGGAGTTGTGGATCCTCGCTAGGACCGGTGGTGATAAGTAGAAAATCAATACGTAGACAATCATACGTAGAACTTGATTGAACAGTCGATCATCAATCCCGAAGATATTCCGAAGGAATTGGGCGATGAATCATGCTGAACAACCTGAATGTGCGCGTTCATCCACATTTTCAGACTCATCGATTGCAGCCGTCAACGGTGTGACAGGCAAGAAGAGGTTCGGGACCTGCGACTCGGGTACCGCAATTGTTGGGAGCGTGCATGCAGTAATCGTTGTTGGCGCTATCCAGTCTACTGGGCTGGCTATCATTTTTGATGGACTGCTTCTGCAGGTGAAATGAGCCCTTGATACCGATGAGACCTTGTACTCCGTAAACAATTCTATCAGAACTTGAGGTCTCGGGAGATGGGTCGGTCATGTATCCGATTCAATATTGGGCGGGATCATCACGGGACCATGCATCTGCTAGGTCATGACCGACGGATCGAGTTCACCCTCGGCTGGGGAAATGTTGTTTAGATGGGCGAGAATCGAACCGAGACGGAAGCAGCTTGGAAATTGATAGTCCACGAAAGTCGATGTAGGTATTTATCCTGACCACATATCTGTCATATGCAAGAGGTTCCTTCAAATGGCATCTCGGAAAATATTCCCTCAATGGACAAGTCATCCCCGATAAGACTCTTATCGGTGCTTAGTCACCAGCGAAAAAGTTCGTTCGCTTGCAGAGACTTTAGCTTCGCCTCTGGACCGTGGAAGGTGCTCACCACCACCAAGAGCATACAGACAGGTCCAACCCAATTCTCTCCAATTCCTCTCCATGCTCTCTCTTTGCACCACCGTCAGACGCAACCCGCTCCTGTTACGAAACCTCATCACCGTCACGATGGAGTCGACACGGAACAATCCCGCCAGACGGCATCCAGGCAGAGGCAAAGGCAGAGGCCGAGGAGGAATGATGTCCACGAATGCAGCTCCCCGAACGGCTCCTGCGCCTCCACTCCGAGTGTCGACGCCTCCTCTCACAGCTCCCGTCCCCCTTGACACTCCTCGATTCGCAGATCTCGCAGAGGGAAAGCTCCTCCATCCAATCCTGCTGCAGACCATCACCCAGGATCTCAAGTTCGACCACATGATGCCCGTGCAGGCGGCGACCCTACACGAGCTACTTGCGAACAGAATCGACTGTCTGGCGCAGGCCAAGACTGGCACAGGAAAGACTATTGCCTTTCTCCTGCCTGCTATCCAAACCCTGATCAATAAGAACCGCAAACCTGGCTCCGGCATCTCCCTGCTGGTCATCTCCCCGACCCGGGAGCTGGCCATGCAGATCGCCAAAGAAGCCACCGCCCTCCTCAAACGCCTCCCCCAATACAAAGTCAGCTTCGCAATTGGAGGAACCAATAAGACCACGGAGGAGAAGAGCATCCTGAGGGGCTGTGATATACTGATCGCGACTCCAGGTCGTCTCTACGATCATCTGAGCGACGAACGCATTGTAGATGCCTTCAGCAACCTTGATACCCTCGTCCTCGACGAAGCCGATCGCCTTCTTGATATGGGATTTATGAACGACTTGAAGAAAATTATCCAGTGCCTCCCAGACAAAGCTGCCACCCAAAGACAAGGCATGCTCTTCTCCGCCACTATCGCACCCCATGTTGAGAAAGTCGCCCATCTTGTGCTATCTAAGGACTACAAGTTCATCTCCACCATCCCGGAAGGAGACGTCAACACACATGAGCGGGTCCCGCAGGAGTTGATCGTCGTTCCGGCCTTCTCAGATGTAGCAGCCGCTCTCGTCGGTTCGCTGCGCGCGGAAATTAAGCTCAGCGGCCCAGAGACCTTCAAAGGAATCGTCTTTGCCCCAACCGCCGCTCTCGTTGATTTCTACGGCGAGATCCTCCAGAACCTGTCCGACATGCCAGAAGTCAGCGTACTACACTCCCGTGTTAGCCAAAGCAAGCGCACAAGCGTCACAGACGCTTTCCGCGGAGCCAAGAATGGGATTCTCGTTGCTACAGACGTCGTGGCCCGTGGCATGGACTTCCCGTTAGTCACCAACGTCATCCAAGTCGGAGTGCCTTCCGACAAGGAGTCCTACATCCATCGCCTTGGGCGCACTGCCCGTGCCGGCGCCGAGGGCCGCGGCACATTCATCATCACCGAAGCCGAGACGTTCTTCTCAAAGTGGAACTTGAAGGATATCACGTTCAACCATAGCCCGGCCGATCTGACATCTAAGTCCGAGGTTCTCTCCATCGCCGAGAAGAGAGAGAGCCACTCGAAGACGTACCAGGCGTGGATGGGATACTACAAGAACCACATCAAGGGCCTGAAGTGGGATAATGAGGAGCTGGTCAGACAGGCGAATCAATTTGCGCGCGACGGAATGGGAAGCCCCGACGTGCCTGGTGTCGCGAAGAGTACCATCGGTAAGATGGGGTTGAAGGGTGTCAAGGGGCTGAATATCGTGCCTGACCCGCCGCGGGTTCCCAGAGCAGGCGGTGGGGGGCGTGGGGGAGGAGAGGGCCGCTCGGGTGGAAGAGGAGGCCGTGGAAATGCTGCGCCGGATACGCGGCCACAAGAGCCAGTCTTCGATGGTGGCTTCGGATCTGGCTTTGGCGCCGGACGAGGGGGCCGAGGAGGCCGAGGAGGTGGGAGAGGTGGCGGCCGCGGTGGTGCCAGAACGGGTGGATTTAATTAAGCGCCAGCAGCCTAAGTGATCCGGCTGAGACAAAGGTTCCAGCACAGATTTGGATCCCGGCATTGTACAATAGATAGACGGGGTAGCAGAGAGTGTGCCGTGAAGGCATGCAGAGAGACTGTACGATGTTTTGCCTGGGCGGTTTACATTTGGGATAGGGATTGTATGGAGAGATACTTGATACCCATAGCTAGCGATGAGCATAGGCGCTTTAGAGGTTGGGCTGAACATAGGCAGAATGTCTTCCTTCTAATACCCAATCTCCGCCTCCTTTGCCCCTAACAAGATCTTTATCAACTGTCACGCGACAGCTTTTGCCTTGTGCTCCCTCATCTGGTCTGATCCGCGGCCCAACAGCGACGTACAAAGTACGCATTACGCAGCACGCTGTACGCAGTAAGCTAAGGTAAGATAAGTACCGTAAGTATCTCAAATTCACTTCCCCCCTCTCCACCCCACCGAAGAGAAGTCTCCTCTCCTCCTCTTCTCCTCTCTCTTTCTAAAGCCCGGGCCGGGCCGGGCAGGGCACAAGGGGGATCGAACCTCACACCTCACACCTCAACCCTCAACCCTCACACCTCTCTCTGCATACTGTACTGTCCAGTACAGTACAGTACAGTATCGGTATCTTTCTTACTGTACTGTACTGTACTTGTCTAGTACCGGTGTTTACGTATGTTTGGTTGCGGTTTTGGTTTGCGGTGTTGTTGCGCGTCATGCATCCTAGCTGCCTGAGGAGGTAGGTACAGTGGGAGGTAGGCACAGTATCTCAGTAACTCTCTTGCTGGTTGGAAGGTGGGATTGATGAGAGGCACAAGCGAAGAGCAAGCGAAGCACAAGCGCAAGCGAAACAGAGCAAAACAGAGCAAAACACATGGCATGCATGGCATAGCATAGCAGCGCATGATATGATATGATATGATAGCGTACTCGCATTCGCATTTGCGATCAGACCGCACTATACTATACTATACTACACTATACTAGGTACACTAGGTACACTACACTCGGGCCTTTAAAGGGACCTCTTTTTGTGTTTTTTTTCTTCCTCTGGCGACCTTGGTGTACCGTACCGTACCGTATCGTGTTGTATCGTATCGTATCGTGTTGTGTCGTGGGTAGCCTATCTTATCTTATCTACCTATCCTAGCTAGGTAGCTGGCTGTGGTACGGGACGGAGCTGATATCTTTTTTTTTTTTTTGTGTTCTTTTCTGTTCAAAGTTGTGTTCTTTTTTTTTTTTCTTCTTCTTCTTATTTTTGCGCTTGCTTTGCTTGCGAGGTTTGATTCTTGATTGTTGGTTGGAGGCGACTGGAGGCGGTTGTGATTGTGATTGTGATTTGGGAACGAGACGGGGTTGGACACGCAGCAGAGCAGGATGAGCGGGATGCGGCGGTTTGTGACGAATGATGGGGTTGGGTTGCGGTTTTTGGATACGGGTGTTGGGGGTGGGGATGGGGATGGAGGTGGAGGTGGAGGTGGGGGAGGAGGGAAGCCGTGGTTGGTTCTGGTGAGTGGAGTTTTGTTTGTATTTGTGTTGGTTTTGGTTAGGTTATGGGAAAGGGGAGTGGGAGGGGAAGTGGGAGGGGGTTTCTGATGCTGTTTTGTATGGTGTTCTTGGATTCCGGGGGGGATAGCGACCTACCTTTGGGTCGAGTGACTAGAAAGGAGGAGGAGGCTGAGAGTGTTAAGACGGTCTCTGGGTTCTGTTTCACCACCCGGTTGGAGCTGAGCCCGTTGTCTTGCCGTCCTGTTTTCATGAGCACTTCTTCCGTGAGCAGTTACTTTGGAGAAAGGGGGAGGAAGCGGTTCCATTGGTTTTTCTTTCCGTCTTGATTATTACTTCTCTTCCCAAGCGCTTCTTCTCCCCCTTCTTCTCAACTCCGTGTCTATCCTCACCCTGTCCTCCCGTATCAATATCCTCCTTCATACCTGTCCTAACATAGTCCAGATCCATGGCTTCACAGGCTCGTCCCAGGTATGGAAACGCAATATCCAGGCTTTCTCTGCCCAGTACAGAGTCATAGTCCCCGACCTCCGGGGCCACGGCGAGAGTGACAAGCCCGATCATGGCTTCCAGGTTAGTCGGCTGGCGATGGATCTGAGAGAGCTGGTGCTGCTGCTGCAGAGCACGGAGGCCGAGCCAGCGAGAGAGTGGAAGGCTATTGGGGGGAGTCTGGGCTGTTCTATACTATGGTATCGATCCCCTCCCTCCCTCACGCATACTCTTCGGAACGAGCATATCGGGGCCACATAACACGTCGTCCTCTCTCCCGGAGAGAGAAATGGTTGACAAAATCACAGGTGCTACGCCTCCCTCTTCACCACATCTCCCTTCACCCACACCATCTTCGTCGACCAGTCACCCCTCCAGAACAGCCTGCCCGACTGGTCCTCGGCCTTCTGCAACCGCGGCATGAACAACGCGCTCGCCGTCTCCGCGCTGCAAACCACGCTCGCCACGTCCCCGGAAACCGCACACCGAGGCACCATCGCCGCCTGTCTCTCCTACCTCGCGTATCCGCTCCCTACCGACTTCCCATCCGAAGAAAAGAGGGAAGAGGTCACCCGCGCGGACGAGGAGTTCTTCCTGGGAGAGGCGATGAAGGGTCACCAGACATGGTACGGTCAGCTGATGGCTGACCACACGGCTCTGGACTGGCGGGCCAGCATCGCCGCGACGTTTGGGAGGGCGAGTCCGAGTCAGACGAAGGTGTTGGTGGTGGCGAGTAGCCGGAGTGGCTGTTTCCCGGCCGAGGGACCGCTGTACGTCGTGGGTTTGGTGGGGGCGAGGGCGAGTGGGGTGAGTGTCGAATGGGGTGGGCACTGGTGTTATGTATGTGCAACTGTTCCCTCTCCTCTCTTCTCTTTTCCTTTTGCTCTGACTTTGACCTTTGGAACGGGGAGGGACGAGCACTTGGGAGAGAAAATGTGTGGAGATGGAGGAGAGTTGCAGAGCCATGCTGACCGTCTGTGAAGTGGGAGGACCCCGAGAAGTTTAACGAGCTGGCGCTGAATTTCCTGTCGGGTGGTGAAGCCGATGCGGCAATGGGGAGGTGGGTTGGGGTGGCTGCTTGAGGCGGTCGAGGCTCCTTGCTTGCTTTTGTTTGGTCCCTGCATAGTTGGTACGTCGTACAGATCCACTCGAAACGTCTTGCAACAAGTATACCAGTATGGTCTCGCTCTCAGAGCTCCCAGAGGACTGGTGTTCTCACGGTTACTATTTTTCTTTCCTTTCCCGCGGTGGCCGTTCAGTTGCGTCACTCGCGACTTCTGGCTTTTCCCCGTATGACAGATGACAGTTCTACATTTTGCTGTCAGATAATGTACATGGATGCACACATGCAAGTCCGCTCTTCCCGAACCTCCACATTGATTCTCAGCTCTCTCTCTCTCTCAGCCTCTTTTGATTAAATCCCCCCTTCCGTCTTTTCCTCCTCCCCCACGACTCATGCCATATCAATCCGCCTCCACCACAGCTCCCCGCGGAAACCATTCCCGCGCTCACTCCCGATGCGCACATACCGGACCTTGACGCCGTCCTCGACGACCTCGAACACGGTGTAGTTGCGGCGCTGCTCGATGCCCACCATGCTCGGCACGTTGGCGACGGTCAGCGGGCCGTGGAAGAGCTGGCCGTGCGTCTCGTTGGCGGGGAGGTCGGTGTTCTGTTTTCCATTCCAAAACACAGGTGGGCGTTAGCCCGGGTTACCGATAGCCAAGATTGAGAGGCGAGATTATCGAGGGGGGGAGGGAGATGGCAAAGGGAAGAGGGAAGAAGCACGTACGATGCTCAGCGGCCCGGCGTAGCCAATGCTGTGTCGGCCGACCAGGGCCCAGTCGGCGTCCGACTGGTTCGGCAAGTAGGGGAAGGTGAGGCCGTCGGGCCGCAGCTCGGGCTCGGTGGCGGTGATGGTGGCGGACATGAAGCCGGAGGCGGTGTAGATGAGTAGGCCGACGGGGTTCTTGCCGTAGACGGCGTCGGGGATGGGGATGTCGTTTTCCGTGCTGGGAGGGAGGGCAAAGGGCGTTAGCTTGGTCTGGTTCGGTTCGGTTGGGTGTGTAGGTCGTCTCATCTCGTCTTTGTCTTCTTACCTGCTAGTGTTCACGAGGGAGTAAACTCCCGCCAGGCTCTGCCAGATGCGAGACGTATCGGCGAAAGCTGTCGATACTAGACAGAGGAAGGGGAAGAGTTGTTGGGTCTTCATTGTGAGAGAGAGAGGGGTGGAATTGGGATTGCGTTGGGCTGGGTTGCTGCTCTTCGCTTCTCCTTGTTGTTTGTTTATAGACTATGTTCTCCTAGCTGTTCTTTCTCCTCCCTCGTCGTTCTGATGGCGTGGGAAGTAGATAGATACACCTAGGTACACCAACCTAAAATCAATGTAAAAGCACAAGAGAAGAGCGACAGCGAAAACAGAAGAGACAGAGGGAGCGTGTATGTTTCCGGAGAATATGTACATGAACACGACCCAGGTTACCTACGGTACCGCTCTACTTATACTCACATCTTACTCTTAATTCTCCTTGGGGGGGGGGGGGGGGAAGAGGCTTCTTTCTCGTCCCCCGCTCCCTTTTCATCCTCCTTGTCCCTCCCATCCCTCCCATCCTCCTCCTTCTCTTTCCTTGTCTGCTCAAGGCTCTCCTTACCCCCTTCTCCTTCCGCACGAGCTCTGCAGGAACAAGGCGGCGGCTACGGTCCTACGGGACCACCGCGCGCGCACGGTACGTGGAGGAGGCCGGGAAGAAGGGGGGAAAAAAAAAAAAAAAAAAAAAAAAAACAAGACCCCGATGACGAAAGAAGAAGGAAAAGAAGGAAAAGGAGAAAAGGGATCTTTAACTTTAAATTGGTGGCGCTGGGTCAAAGTCTGTTCGCGCTCGGCTCTGTGTGGGGCATTCGGCGAGCTGGTTCTGTTGGTGTGCGTAGGTGCGTGCGTGGAATGGCATGTACGCAGATGCGTAGGGAACGGAGGTATCTACGCGGGCGCAGATGGATGCTGTTTTGAAGGGGCTGATGAGTGGCTGAGGGGATGGTTGGCGAGCTTGGGAGGAAGGGCGGGTTTATGGGACGGATACGGTACTAGTACTAGTACTGTAGAAGAAGAAGACAAGAAGAAGAAGAGAAAAAGACGGGGCAGCCGAGGAAGGATGGATGAGGGTGGATTAGGATAGGGATGGGATGTGGATAAGGATGGATGGGACTCCGTAGTACGTAGCAAGAGAAAGAAAAAAAAGGGGGGACGGCGGGGGGAGGTGGAAATGTATGTACCGGTATATAATGTATAGTTGGTCAGACCAATTGTCCCAGTCCAAGCAGGTAGGTTTCGTATCATCTCAAACCGTATGCCAATCCGGGTTGAAAAAATATCAATAACCATTCAAACAATCACGCTTCGTATCGCGAGCAACTCTGTAACGTAACCAATCTATAACAATAAAAAGTTATATTTATATACTATCAAATATCAAATACCTTCAAATACTTTTATAATACCTATCCATCGCGTAAAAGATTGAAATTTTCGAAAAAAAAAATATATAATCGTCGGCTACCTTGAAATTAATTTGTAGAAAATCCCGACCTGGCAAGGCGGGACAGTAACGGTATACCACTTATTAAAGAACATCAATTAATGTAAAGAAAAATCTTTATATACCTACTCAAAGGACTGTGCTTCCCAAACGTGACTTCAGAATATAAAGATGCATTCATCTATAGTGACCTAATACATCAAATAGTAATGAAAACAAAGCTAAAAACCATCCCAAATAATTCAATTCTACTTGTCTACTTCGAATATCTTAGTAATCACAACCTCGATTTGAAAAAAAAAAAAAAAGAAAAAAAAAAAACGTCTTATAAATCGAAAACAAATGATCCAAGTTATTGCATCACCAAAGGTATTAACTATTAAATCAAGGTTGATAGTGATGCACGTATTCTTTGGATAGATTTAAACAAAAGTCCGATTCCTCGTGTTCCTCGCTTATTCTAGTATTTACATAGCAATTCTGATATATACGCACTATTGTTGTTATTGTTATTGTTTTTGTTTTTGTATTTACTAACGTCGGGCGGAAGCTTTGCCGCTTTAGCTCCCATGGGGTACGGCGACGTGCTACCGGTAAGCCAAGGGGTTACATACATACAAGAAGGCCCTAGAAAGCCATTCAAAGAGCTGCAGCGAGAGCTACTGTCGTCTGCGCCCTTCCCTTACGGAGAAGTTGGATCACAAGTGAAGAGGAAATCTCTCTCCAGGATATATACGCAATAGTAAGGTCGAAAAGTAGGTATGATAAAAGTACCTTTAAGGGGAATGCAGGAGCATTTAGACGGTCAGCTGATCGTCCGATAACCATCTCTTTGAGGGACGATTTTAATAAGTTGGTATGGCTGGTGGATCACCTTAGGCCTATACTTAAGATTGAATAGAATCTGAAAACAAACGATTTAAATTATTTAAATCGTAGCTAAAATTAAATTATTTTATTCAATTAAATGGTTTTTTTTAAAATACTCGTCTTTTCGTATAAAAACCGTCTTAAGACCGTCTTGGAGCGTTCTAAGACCGTCCCATGGCCGTCCCATGGCCGTCCTTAAGCTTAAAACCGTCCCTGGGAACGTGAATTAATAAGCAAATAGTCTTTTTATTACGTGCTGGTCTACCCTTTACTACCTAAACCACCTACTATACCCCCTCTTGATAAGGTCTGCAAAGGCGGCCGACGTACGCGGGTAGACTTTTGCTAAATCGGTCGATTTCGATTATAAAAAAATTAAAGCGTTGATATACAAGCCTTAGCAGCGATACCGAGAAATATCTTGGCGTCGAACTTCTTAAATTATTATTAAACAATTTTATTTAAAAGATAATTTTTATCTATAACTATATCTTCTTTAAAATGGTCATCGAACTATTTCAATTTTTTAAAACGAGCTTATTAATAAATCTATTTTAAAAATATAGACAAGGACGGCCATAAGACGGCCACAAAACGGTCTCTTTCAATGGGACGGTCTTCTCGGCAAACTATTATTCAAAAGAGCTTAGTACTGAATTTAAGCGGTCTAATAACCGTCTTTTATAAAAGAGGGTCAGAGGACCGCTGAAATGACCCCCTACCTGCCTTTAAGGTACTGTCCCGCCTTGGTGGTGCCGACTTGCTACAGCAAGTCGGTCAGTTCTTTCGAATGAAATCCTAGGCAACCAACCGATGATTATCCGTTGCGCAAAGGATTGATTTTTTTTTTTTGTTTTTTAAAGAAAAAAAAAGTTGAGAAACAAAAATTCTCTTACTGATTTTCTTTCGATAAATTCCTTTATTTTCCTTCTTCCTTTTTTTTCACCAAACTTGCTGCTTATCGATTACTAAGCTTAAAAGACTGGGGAATACGATAAACGTCAGCTAGAGTATACTATGCGATTTCTGCAACTTGAATAAGTCCACAAAGCGATTTCTGATGTTATTGGATAATGGATAAGAGAGTCGTCGCAATCGAGGCCTTTTTGACTGGGGGCTTTTTGTAGACAAGGCTGGTGAATGCAGTTGATATCGTGAAATACTCCGTATGGATTTTTCTCATATGAAATGAGATACTGGCTTGGATTGACTGCTTGGATTGACTATAACCGAATGCCCGCAGGTTTATAATCCGCGCATTGATTATTGAATCACGCCTCCGTGCGTATGGGTTTCTTTGGCTTCGAAAGGGGGAGGGCTCTTTTTTCTTCTTTTTTTTTTTCCTTCGAAATTAAAAAAAGATGAGAAAGGTAGGGATGGAGATTAGGGTGGAGATAGAGATGAAGATAAAGATGAAGACAAAGATGAAGACAAAGATGAAGACAAAGATGAAGATGAAGATGAAGATAAAGATGTAAGTAAATGAAGATAAAGATACCGATAATGATGTCTTCGTAAAAAGAAGTTGAAGTTTAAGAAGAGGAGAAGAGGAGGAGAAGAAGAGAAGGAAAGAGAAAAGAGAACAGGAGAGAAGAGAAGAGAAGTGACGAGAGCAGAATGGCTGAAGAACAGAAGAGAAGGACTCGAAATACTTCTTTTTGATAATTCGGAGAACGATCCGATTGAAAGGTTGTACAACTACTGTATATATACTACGTACTAGTACGTAGTACAAAGTCCGTCCAGGCAGGGGAGAGTGGGGGGAAGCTTTCCGGAAACCTTCACCGGCGCGCTCGACCGTGAGGCTCGCCCAGTCCATACAGTATTATTTTAAGATTCATCTTTGATTTTTTTTTCTTACTGCTACTACGTAGTAGTACGTACTGTCTCCCTCCTCAGGAACGATCGTCGGGCCCAGTCTAGCTTCGTAAATCGTAGAGCGGTGTTTTCTGAATGGCTCAACGCCATGTCAACTCTGTTGCACAGATTAGGTACTACTAGTAGTACTACGTACTTGCCTAAAGCTACTACTACGTAGTACGTTTCAAGACCGAATCCTGAGAAGTCGATTAGCTCAAGTCTTAGTAAGAGCTTTTGCAGAATTCTACTACTACGTACTTCCACTGCATTTCGAGAGGGGATAATAGTACGTAGTAGCTTCAAGTCTTAGTAAGAGCTTTTGTAAAATTATACTTTCCGTAACATTTTGAAGGGGATAATAGCTTTATACTGGTAGTAGTACTACTACTACGTAGTAC